AGCCATGAATGCAGTAATACTAAAATTATCTTGTAAATGCTAGCCGATCATTCGCTGATTCTAGTTTTGTCACACGGCATCAATCAGTTCTTTGTTGTTCATGTACCCTTTCCATGATTGAGTTCATTTCTTACCTTTACTACTACGTAATATCACTATGTTAAACAGTACACAGCGAATATATATACAAATACTAGTATTAGCTGTGTCGATGGATTGTTAAAATTTACCTTTTAGCTACAGATACTGATGGGCAAAATTACTCAATCAATGATTTATTTGTGATTGGTTCTATTTACATCGGGTTGCTTTTTCTATTCCTATAGAAATCTTCAGCACAATTTTATAAGCAGAATAGATTCTCGGTCTTTTTGTCATTTAGATAAACTAGCTCATCTGTAAGTCTTGATTTATTATTGTCTTATTAACTGTTAATACCAATTATTTGGGGGATCATTAATAGCAGTCATATCCTTAATCAACTCAGAAAACAATTGTTACAAATATGTAGATAGCATCGACTGATAATTTTTTCATATTTGTATTTGTAAGGTTCCTGCAGAATAATTTTTTAAGCAAAATAGATTCTGGAGATTTTGATTGCCTTCCGCAATTAAAGACATTGTATGTAGCTTGCAATCAATCTATAAGATGATTTAGCTGATTCAATTATTAACTTTATCAGCGCTGTAAATTTTATATTGCTTTACTAATATTCTGGCTTACGCATTTAATAATTAGGCGTTTATCATTTAACTCGATAAATACAATAGCTGCTAATTCATTTTGCGGAGCCCAAATGATACAAGAACTGTAAGCAAAAGCCAATTTTATTATTTCATGTTCTATCATACTTAATATGACGGTGTGCTTGATTCTGGGATCCAAGTAGTTGCAGACTAGTCAACCCCTAAATTAGCCTTTCATGTATCTTCTTAACTGTCCTCGCTAGATTACTGGAAGGAAATGAATTAAAAGAACTACACAATGATAGTTTTGCCTGTCTTTCATCTTTGACGAACTTGTAAGTTTCTAAAATCAATTAGATGGTTAGCCATAGATTTCTTTAGTTGAAGTAGAAAGCTGTGGTAGTCAACAGAAATTTTGATGATAACATCTGTGTTAATTAATGAGCGAATACACATCTTTTAGTACAAAATATCCGACATATAGCGCTTTCATTTAAAATATATGCAGAACGAACTATTAATTTCTCTAGCTGGGTGTAGATGATGAATATAATCGACATATTTCAAGCAATATAGATTACCTAAATTTAAGGCAAATAATAGCTCATAAACTTACAAATTAGAGACATTGACTTCGCCAAGTTGGAAACAATCCATCCAAGGACATTCTGCCCATTATCAAGTATCGTAGATTTGTAAGTCATTAATCGATTTCTATCTACCCTAAATGATGATCATAACATTTTAATATCAGTACGGGATACAATTGGCCTACTATAATATTCAAATGATACATATTAGGCACTTGGAAGGTAACCGTTTAACAGAACTTTGGTATGATAGCCTCGCATGCCTAGGATCCATTACAGGATTGTAAGTAGTTGTATAAACACGTTCGCTATCTATCAACAGCTTGTATTTTAACTGCCGTCACTTGCTAGATCGCTGAACGGAAATAATATTCAAGAGCTGCCACCGAGGAGTTTTGAAACGTTAATATCCTTGAAAACGCTGTAAGACAGAAATTTTCGTAATATTTCGCTATATCCTGCCATGAATCGCTAACACTCCAGATCTATGTCGATTAACATTATTAACGTAAAATATTTATAAGGAACTGTAATATCGTTTCCACAGTAATTTTAGTCCACAGAGGAATCCAGTACTATAAAAGCTTTTTATTACAAGGTTCTAAAGAATAGTACAGCAATAATTAATTACTCACAAGAATCTAGTCTAAAGTAATCTGAGCTCAATTAGATATCAAATCTTTTCTCCTCCTTTACGCTCAGATTTGTACACCTTATATACTTTTCTCTGAATCTATTTAAGGCAATAACATCGTCTACAATCAGACATGAATCATCACTACATTTTACAGTATTAATCAAACTGCTTACAATATTATTACTTTACCATTAATGTCCAACACCGTAAGGTATTGGGCATCTTTACAATCTTAGTATTTCAAGTCGTATAACGTCCTGTACCATAATTAGTTAACAGCTATATTAGTGAATAACACTTTCTAATATAGTAGTTACCAGTCACCTAAATCTAGCAGCACAAGAATATCTATTTTTAGAAACTTAACTATTCTAAATATAGTACACAACACAATCAAATATAGCTATCGCTACAAGCAAATATAGGGTGCATCACTACAGGAACTAACTATTCTGAGCGTACCCAACTATTAAATTTTCGTATTGGAGTTTTCATCATAACCATCTCCTTCGTCTTCATGCCGTATTTAATAACGTAATTGTAGCCATTAGCGCGTTGTAAAATATTTGCTTACTCTGACATGCCATAAAATATACCAATATATTTGATATAGCTACATATCAAAAAGTTATAGAAATTTCTTAGTTAGAACAAAATACTTATAATAGATTGAGAGCTAGCGAAACAGATCTAAAATTAAAGCTGCGATAAACTACTAATTTTTGGCTGATATTTTTAAATAGGGAAATCAGTAACTGCGAACTGACTGTCATAAATGAATATCAATTTATTGGTCTTATTAGTTTGGAGAAACTGTAATTGGATTAAACGTTTATAATATATATATATATTATATTTAGATTCTCGGCGCTTTACCCAGACTATAATAAAATGTTAGTGATGCCTTAATAACGTGACTTAATAATCATTTATTCAAATAAATACTAGGGTATTAAGGTCTAATAATATCCATACCATTTTGAAGACAGCATTTGACGGACTGGATACATTGCAACGTTTGTAAGTTGGTTTGGATATTAAATCTTGTGCAGCGTTTAATAACATTATAGTAAATAAATACTTTCGAAATACATTTCATTTTGATGTTATAACTTCATTCTGTAGGAAATGGATTCTAAAAATATTCTTTGGATCATTTAACAGTATACTTTTATTGCAATTAGAGACTTGACTGACAACGCATTATTTGCCTTAAACTCGACAACATTTCAAAATTTAACTGCGTTGCAGGAACTGTAAGTTACCAAATACCAATTACTACTCGTGTGCTGTAATTTTAACCCAAAGAGTTAAGCAGCCATTGTATAAGCATCTTTACCCGTACAGAAATACTATAGCATAATTGAATATAATAAATTTAAACCCATTACAAATAAATATTACTTACAGAAAACCACTCAATGAGTAGATTTAATATTGAAATAGACGAGTCTTGGTTTACGATACCGGATAATTACTATAATAAAACTTGAAGTAATCATTGTAACTTTGCTATAAAATTTACTCTCTTTGATAAGTTTTAGCTAATTGAAAATATAACTGCTATGATTCGCGATTAGATATTTAGATGAGAATACCATTAAGAACTTGGAAGCGAAACAATTTGAAAACCTATGTAATTTACGATTTTTGTAAGTTTACTCTAAAGCATTTAGGATTTACGATATATTTGATACTAGATATGGTATCGTAAGTGCGGTATATTCGTTTAGTAACTATGTTCTAGTTTAATATTTGATGGAATTTGCTTAGTTCTGCGATGTCTATGAAAAATTCGAATAGATATCGCAAGAGTAGGTGTTTCATTTGTCAGCTATACACTTGATATCAGAAATACAATTGCGAAGATTAAATACTCAATCTTCTCTAATATACTATAGGATATATGTCAACAAAGAATTTGAAATTTTATAAAAATACAAACGTTATTTTCTAAATTTCGATAATGTTTGTGTAGTGTTTAGGACTAGCTACATAGCTAAGAGTAAACAGTTGTGCGTAGCTGTCCATGACAGATGTTGCAAAGAAATTCCTTTAACGCAATATAATAATAGATGTTAAATTCCATGCGTATAAATAAAATTTATTTGAAGATGAATCTCATCGTTTGCTGCATATTAAACTTTAATAAAATTACTAAGTCTATGGTAATTATTCAATATTAGATCGTTAAAAACTAATGGAATCGTAAGTGTGCATCCTGAAGCATTCTTTGGATTGCATAATCTCAAGAGATTGTAAGCATCGAATGATTATTATTATCTCTAGATTTAACGTTGAATCCTACATTACCATGTTGGATATTATTACTTACCAATTAATAAAAATTACATCTGTAAATATCGTCTATAATTAAAATCTGTATTTGTTTCAGCCTTTACTTCTGTGATATTTTTTAGACAGCTCGATGGCAATCGTATCATCAATATAAAGGATTTAAAGTTACCGGATGCTTTGACATTGGATATTTTGTAAGCAAAATTAATTAGGAATTTAGTCTACAAAACACTAAAATTAATTCGATAAAGTAGGTAAGGTTATAAATTTGACTGATATTTGAAAGTAAATTTAGCGTTAATGTCAGCGAATTTATATATTGCTCATCTTTGTTATGAATAGTAACAGAATATATCGTTGCTTTTAATTGTGGATATAGAAGCTTATCCAAATCTAACTTGCAAAATCTTGCAAAATTTGAAACTCTACTGAGCAATGTAACGGTGAAAATAATGTAAGCACCATCGAATTCACACGCATTTTATAATTCCTAATATAACTAGCAAGATAATGTCGACGAACTATATTATAATATATCAAAATATCAATTATATCTCTTCATTTTCAAGGCACACTGCTCCATGCTCGGTTTAATCTTAATCTAGTATAAGTTAATCTTTTTTTTCTCTATCTTGTCACTTATTTCAGGGATTTATCCGATAATTTATTTCATGAAAATACTAATTTTCACTTCTATGATTATCAATCCTTGTAAGTTTGTAAATATCTAGTTGATAGCTATATATTTCACGTATTTTAATCAGCAAAAATGGCCCATTTAATAGATTAGAACCGTTGTTACTCAATCTTACTAAAAATTATCTACCTGCAAGTAAAATTTTGTTCTTGTACTTTTATCGTGCATATAAGAGAAAGTGTGGAGAGCTAGCGCCATCTTATAAGAATTAATTGTAGTTTAAAGTTAAACGCTTAGTATAAGAGCAATTTTTTTTACAATTTTTTCTCTAGAAATTTATCCTATAATTTCTTACAAGAAGATTTTCCCCTGAATTTCTCTAATATTCCATCGCTACGTCATTTGTGAGTAAATTCTAGCGAATCGAAAATAAAATAGCTAGAAAATTCAAACTTTGGAGTAGGATGTGCTTAAAGTTAAAATATAATATTTATGTACAGTAAAATGCAATCTTGACCTCCAATCATTCTGGGTATTATTTTCATGCAATTTATGGAAGAGTTAATCATTGTTAGTATAGTGTTAGTCTGTTAGTAATCATACTCAGATTCAGTCTTGGATTTTTGCAATAGCATGTGCATGAGGTATATGTTATCCGTTAGAGTCAATTTTTTAAAGACACCGCCATGCACAACTTGCAACATTTTCATGAAGGTATTTACCACTTAAAGCCAACATTTTCGTTGTATTATCTTTTATTTACAGAGATTTAACTGGAAATCGATATCGACACATTAATGAACGTTTCATGGCCGTATGGAAAGGATCAATAATGCTATCAATGTAGGCTTAGGAAGGGTGTAATCTATTTTGGTTAAATGAATATGATATTCTTTATAGCAATCCAATTTAATGATATTCAATTGAAAAAGTAGTGGATCTAATTTAAAAGACCACAATATCATTCCTTGACTACTTCAATTTTAATTTAAGTAACATTTCATCGAATTCATTGGAATCGATTGAAGCTGATACATTTAAGTCTTTGACTGAGCTCAATTCGTTGTATGTATCCTTCTTTGCGTTACATTTTTCTTATTGAATTTATATCGAAAAGTATTGATAAATACAAACGGATATTGCCTAATAGATATTTGCGAAACAATTATTTGACCAAAATGACCTTTATACGACCTTTATCTAAACTCAGTATCCTGTAAGTACTTATTCTCATTATCAATTTGGAATCACAGTTTTATTAACATATAAACTACTTCAAAATGTAGTCAAATATATATTTAGACAGACAAATGGCGGTATTAATGTACCGATACTGCAGAATATTATATAACTTTGAATCAGATATTTAATACTGTGCTTATTCGATGATTAAATTATACCTATTAGCATTCATAAGTTGGAATAATTAGAAGTTATTAAACTTCAGAGAGGATTAACTGATGGTATAATTATTAAGATAACATTATATTTAAATTATTTATAGATCGCTGGGTAGAAATAATTTTAAAACATTGGATAAAGAGGATTTCATGAACTTAACTGATTTGCGAGAACTGTAAGCTACAGCAATCGCTAAACCTGTTTCTAATTTCCTTAGTTTAAAGTTATCAGCTATATTCTATAGATTTGTGTTTGATGTCGCTCGAATGCTTCTATTAAATTTCTGACTTACTTTAGTTACTTGGATAACAACCGAATTGGATACCTACGTGGAAACTATTTTGAAAATATCCAGCTAACTACTCTGTAACAGAAAATTTTCTTATGATAATAATCATGTAGCTAGGTCACGATTTAAATTGAGGAAATTAATTTTAAATCGTGCTATGGGGATACTAGGTCTCTGGAAAATAATATGATATCGTCAGTTGTTGATGTTTTTACCAATTCCTCATCGCTAAAGACTTTGTAAGCTTCACATAACTTATACTAATTCTACTGGGTATTTTCAATACATCTATAGACAAGTGTAGAAATTTATAATTTCATGCATATATATTAGATAAGTGTAGATGAAAGAATCCATCATTTATTCCTTCTTCATTATGCTATTATAATGAAACGGATCTTAGATTTATTTCTATTCATTACTATACTTTGGCTAAATCGTGGTTTTAACAACTACTTCAATAATACTAATTGTTTATCAAATAAGGAACTTAAATAGCAACCTGATAGAGAATATTGACAATATCTTCCATGAATCAATGGCACAAGTGAATGCTATGTAAGCATCCAAGAATTTATTGCATTGATAGATCAAGATGAAGTACTCTAACTAATTTCGACATGATATAGTTATCTACGCGATAACAGGATCAAGGCATGGAGTGGTGGTCCGTTTCGTCACTCTCCTATTCTGGCTATACTGTAAGTTTGTCTTGCCTTCCAGCTACGGAATATCACTCTTAATAATTGATTCACTGGAATAAGAGCTATTTAATTCTTTTGATTAATTTCCTACTTGGCACTGTCTAAAAACATCTGAATCTTTATAGAGATCTTAGCGAAAATCTGTTGACGGAAGTTAGCGATCTGGGACTTGCTTCTATGAGTCAATTGTAAGTATATATATACATATACTTATCAGTTATATGATATTAAAATTATAGTATCAAACTTAGACTATGCTATTAAAAATAAGCAACGATTTCAATAAGAATACTATGATAATCTATCAAATTTTGATGTTCTTGCAGTAATATAATTAATGAGATAGCGCTCGGTATCATTTTCGGTTCTATATTTTATTCATAAATATTCTACTTACAATTGAAGAAATTTTCTCTCCTACAAATTTTAGAGATCTGCAAGGTAATGAAATTAATTACTTATCCTGCCGTGGATTACCAACTGCCTTAAAATCGCTGTAAGCAATATCAAGAATTAGTTACTAATTTCAATTTGAGACTAAATCAAGACTGATAACATTACTATATGATATAATATTCGGATTTAATGAAGTTATTGGACATTTTAAATTTTTATATCAGTAATTTGGCCTACAACAACATTAAGAAAATTGACTCTGATTGCGACACCTTATTCCAACAAATAAATGAATTGTATGATTTTCAGTTTTAGAATTGTTTTATTTCAATGATGCCAATACTTGCCTAATTTTGAAGTTTATTTTGAATTTGTAGCGACATTAGTTTTAATAACTTAGTTTCCAACGGCATGAATATTAAAGAATCGGTACTTGATAAACTGAAGCAAATCCTAGTCTTGTACGTACAGCATGTTTAATTTATTATCCTCATGCTATTGTAGTCAATCACTTGGCAATATTTTCCAATATGGATATAGACTTGACCTAGTAAATTTTAAATTCTTGCTATCGGTTTGTTATTTTTGAATCAGTTTAATTACTATAGTTGGATTGAGAAAGATTTAGGGAAAGTAACAACTAGATAGTAACTTACTCTTGATAAATTTTTAGATCAGAAGATTAATTAAATTGACTTAAAGTAGTTGAAAGTTCAATAAACGTCATGAATATATTCTGAATAATGTAATATTCACTTTTTGTATAGCTAAATAATACTAATTTATATTCATTAAGGGTGATCTTCTTCTAATATGTTTACCTTATCTTAATGAAATATGTTCATGGGCTTATTCCTAACTAAAGAAATATCGCTGGCAATAATATTACGCGTATACGGCATAAAACAACCTTCAATCAATATCGGCGATTGTAAGTTCATCATCGGAATTTTATAATGTCATTTCAAACTACGGTAACAAGTATTATATTTAAACTATGATAGTTTAAGTCACTTATTTCCTTACACAGTAGATATAACTCTCATTTCCAATAAATACATCGAAAAGTTTCTATATTCTAGCCAAGAATAAACTTAAAATACGCATATACAGTTGAAGAGTATAAAAGCAGTTTGATGCAAAGGGCTAGTCCAAAAATTTTAATGGTTGCGCATCCTACTGCAGCATTCCCTCCTTACTTAGCCAACTGCGACTTTTTGTAAAGCATAAAGTTGGATGATGTATTTTCGATATACTGACATTAAGCTGAGAAGATATATGCTTTGTAATAGCACAGTTTAAAGTAGCTCTTTCTTTTAACTAAGGATAACTTTTTAATATCTTGAGCGTAATACTTTTGATATACTGAAATTAACCTCGAAAATTTAGGATTTACACCAGAATTCTGTAGGTATTAAGCTTCTTTTCCTAATCAACTATGGTCTTTATAATACTATAATTAGAAACATTAGCTATAATCCGATGACACTGACAGAACTATCTGAATTTATGGGAAGAGGAACAAGCTATCTTATGATGATGTAAGCCATTTCCATGCGTTAATACGAATGAATTTTTGTTGCTTTCATGTCGTATAGAATCTAAACCTACGGTATTTATTTTCTTGCAGTTAGATTATAATAGCAACTACTACTCTATTTTAGCCACTAAATGATTTAAATTTAGTTCAATGAGTCAATTTTCAGTTCTTTGTATCTTCAACAAGATCCTTCCATTTACAGCTTTTGTGGCAAAATTTGCATCAAAGATCGACTATAAACGTTAAATACGATAAAATATAAAGCGAAATTTACTATTATGTAATTTGCTTTTACTGTATTATTAATTTAATATTTTGAGTGTCATACTGCAGTAGTGATAGACTCGAAATGCTGCAGTAAAATTTTTACTTTACAATCAGGTAATAAATAGAAACGTAATCCGATAGAACTGTAAATTGGGCAATATGTAAAATGCTAATTTGAGAAAATTTAAACACAATCTATCAGAATATTTAATCCCTTCAAGACTAACTGCTTTAATAGAAAATGGATATATTCAGTTACTCGTTAAATTTCACTTTGAAGCTTGACATTATCTTCATTGATTAATGATTTTTGGTAAATTGAATTTCAGCTGATTAAGAGCGTTCATTTTGCTATTTCAGTGACATCAGCAGTTTAAAATTCGAACAGTTACCTGATGAATATTGGCGATTCTATCAAATTCTTAGAATCTTGTAAGGCATAGCACTCATAGAAGATTTTTTAGTTAAAATATTTGCGAAAGGATTTCGTATGTCGACATAGGATAAATAAAATCACGTCATTCGCTTAGTATAATTTTACTCCTGGTCATTACGGAATTACAATTTACTTACCAGAATTAACTCTCGTCCACTTGATTTCCGCTTAATTTAGGCACATTAAGGATAATGGTTTGAAGGAACTTAACTATGCTAATAGGACTAGATACGATAATAATGTGGTTTTAGAATTGTAAGTTATTCAGTTGATTCTATTATTTGCGTTGTATCGATTCCTGAATAGACAGTAATGATCTGGGATAGATATTACCTAGCTTATAGATGAATCTAAGCCTGGAATTTTAATATGGCCAATAAGAACAGTATAATTATCACCGAGCTAATTAGTTTATTTTAGCTATAGAAAGATAATAAAGATCAGTATACATCTAGAAATCAACGAGGGTTGATCCTTCACGCAGAGATCTTAATGGCTGCAGTTGTACCAGTATTCTTTTTCGATATGATCGATTATATGAAGATGCTTAATATCGACTGTTAAGATATGGATATATCAACAAAATTATCGATGATTAAATTGTATACTGCATTTCATGGTCTTATTGATGAATTTAAACTATTCTTATCATTATTAATTGAAGAGACGTTTCAGGCAACAAAATGAACAATTTCTTTTCCAGTATTGAAGCTCGATTAGTGTCCTTGGAAAAATTGTAAGCTCTAGTTCAAAGATTTTCTTTATACTTTTTCCGATTTAGGCTTTCCGTGAATAAAGAATATATATTCTATCTATTAGTGACTCAGTAGTAATTTAGAATTTTATGTCTAAATTCTCTATTTTAAATACTATCTGAGATTTTAAATATGAATTACTCTCGATGGTTTAGAAATGTGGCAAGAAATGGAATTTCTGACATTTGTTATCGCAGCTTAGCAATCCAGTTTCCAGTTATTCAAATTCTGTAAGTTGGTTTTGTGTTAATTGTAATTAAGATCTTTTTCGTTCCTTTCACTCTCAGTCTAGTTATTAATAATAATGATAGAATAATGATAAGAATGCGTACACGCAATATTATAGCGATGCCAGGATGAATAAAATTGATCGTTTGCAAAGGAGATGCTTCAAAGGAATGGGAAAATTGCGAGTATTGTAAGTTAATTTATTGATCAGCAATGGAAACGCTAAATTTCTAACTCAAACTAGGAATATCTTACAAATTGATCTAGTTGTGTATCCTCATATGCCCTTACAGTTTAGGAAAGTATATTGAATATCACGAGAATACAAATTTATGCACACAGTTTTCAATTAAACTGTAACTTACAGTTAGTACTTGTAGTTGCCTTATAACATAGACTTTTCGATTTTAAATTAATTTGAATGGTAATGTAAATTGGTCATGTATATCAGTATTATCACACTTACTAGCTATGACAGTTAGTTATTTCATTTTTAATATAAATGACAGTATTTATTTAAATAATTAGACTTTTGCAAGGCAATAACTTGGCATATGTTAGCGGAAAATCATTCTATGGTCCGCCTGAAATGGTCACAGTGTTAGTAACTACAGAAGTAAATGTAATAATGATTAAATTAGCAAGCACTAATCCTTTTTATGTTAATGTTGATATATTAGATTGACAAAGCGTGATTATCTTTGTTGTATGGTTCCCGCAAAAATTAAACTTTGTCAACCGAGTATGGGTTCTGACGATTTATCATCATGTGAAAATTTGTTGTCTCATTTTTCACAAAAATTATTTATTTGGATTGTGGGTATCTTAGCTGTTGTTGGTAACCTACTCGTGTTTATTCAAAATCATTCCATTCGCAAACAGAAAAATAGCTTGGTTCCAATTTTTCTTATCAATAGTCTAGCTCTATCGGATCTCCTAATGGCGTTTTATTTGATAATTATTATTGTAGCTGATTTAGCTTTTAGCACTGGAGAGTATGGTCTGAATTCAGAAATATGGCTATCCAGTCCGTTTTGTTTAATAGCATGCTTTCTAGTTAACGCGTCTAGTTTAACAACTGTACTTTTGATGGTTACTATTTGCTCAGATCGCTATATTTGCTTGGTTTATCCTTTATCACCGAAAAGAATGAGTATTAAGACAGCACGCATAGTTGTCGTGTTCGTATGGATCTTATCGCTTTCATTTGCAGCAGCTCCGGTAATATCAAGTGCTAACATGCCAGGGTACCTTCGATTGTATACTTATAACAGCATGTGTATGGCTAATAATTACCAGATTGACTACTATCGAGTTTGGATGATTTCTTATTTGTCCATAATATTTATTGCATGGGTAGCTATGACAATCTTATATATGCGTTTATTTATGACTATTCGTCGTAGCGGCAAGAATTTAAGAAGATCGACCGCAACTGACAATACAGTTATAGCGATACGCCTAGCATTAATTTTAATTTCTGATTTAATCAGTTGGGTTCCATTCTACTATGTTAATTTGCATGGGTTGTTAACTTCTGGGCGTGTAGACGTAATAGCACTTCAATTTGTTGGTATATTTTCTTTGCCCATCAATTCAGCTATTAATCCATATTTGTATACATTTACAAATATTGATATTATTAAGAAGTTTTTAGTTCGCCAGAAAACATTTAGCACTAAATCTTGATGACTGCTTATTACATTCCTCACTGGAACTAATCTTGATCAATGATAATGATTAAACAAATTTAGTAGTAGCTGGCATCTTTTCATTATATAATTTATTGTTTCATGCCTGTAGATATGAGACTGAAGATACTTCTATCAACCTTATAATTTTACTACAACTTAAGGGATATCTAAAATTAAATGTAACATTAGAATGCAACAGAAGTTAAATCTTCACGGGTATTGTAGTTGTGAGCAATCTAGCCCACACACATTTTTTAACAAGGCTTTATAATAATTTAGCCGAAATTTCGGCGATAAAATGATAGATGTAATAAAATATTAGCTTTAATAAAAATTCAAGTAATATTGGTACATGTTTGCAAATCTACTGCTGATATAGATGTTCATACTGCTTTCAGGGAGATGAAAGGATTTCATATCTATCGTTTCGGTGAAAGTCTTGAAAGATGAGTGTAAATATCTAATTAGGTCTTATTTATATAGCGATGCTCAGTCGATACTCAAAATGCATAGTTAAGACCCAAAGTAAGAGAATGACACTTAGTCAGTTAAAACTTTAAACTATAAATATCGTAAGGCTAACCTAAGTTCCTTCATGCAAGGTAAGTCGTCATGGTCTTTAAAGATTGCATCTAACTTCTGCGTCTGTAATAATGGTCAGAAGAGCAAGTTTAATCCTAAAACTGATAGTTGCAAAATTAGCTTAAAATACTGTATTTCGAGACGGACCTGTTCCTTGGTACCACTATAAATTGCATTACGGGAAATATCTGTAAGACTCCAGCTTAACGACGGCATCTAAAAACAGATTTCGCAGATATGATGTCATTACCGTTTTATGCAGTGATAGATTTGCTATTTCAATATCTTACTTGTTTTACGCAATTTATGACATCAAGTACAACATCTTCATCTATTATTTTCTGAAGTAGATTAAAAAAGTCAAGAAATTATTTTATTGGCAAATTTAATCGAAATAAACATTATCAATTGACATACTTTCCTTACCTGCAATAGGATCCGATCAGTAAGGATTAGATTAGTCAATATTAGTAAAATACTCTATATAATCGATGATAGTATGGAGAGGTTTGCTTAGAAATTCGATAATTTCATATAACATTGAATCACCATTATTATATCGTTTCTATATGAAGTAGGTATAATACCGTAACATACCTCTAAATTTGTTATACTCAATTTCTTATAATTTTGTATCATTCCTTTCATAGAAGGTATTAACTTAATACCAATCGTTAACTATTAGATTAGAGACAAAGAATTTCACATATTTAATAAATCATCAAATGTATTGGTGAAAGAAATCTAGTAATATCATATAAATAAACGTCTATACCACTGAGTGAGAGTGTTCTACCATAACAAGGCGATTTAGCAGTTGCAATGCCGGTTCCTTTAATACGATAATCAGAAAGAAAAAAGAAATTTTTATATGACTGAAAATCTACTGCAGCCAAGTAAAAGTAAACGGTATATGATTTAATATCTTATTAAGCAACATACATATAAGCGAGGCGACCCACTTGTAAACACTTCAAAGATACGAGGTAGCGTTATATGATTATGCAATCGCTATAAATCACGTAAGATGTAGAATCAGTACGATTATTCATAAGCGCTTTGTGCACTATTGCTAAGTTTGCTTCTATCAATTTAATCTGTGATTAGCGTATACACAAACCGCTCCATACCGCAAAAATAGGTTCATGTCGAAGCGCAAGCAAATTAATTAAAGTTTTAATTGTGTATTGTAGGACCTGCATAGTTCAATTAAGTTATTTCATTAGTTAATAAATATGAGGTGTAAAATAGCTTAATATAAAAAGACATCAAAGAATATCTAGTCTTACGTATTTAATAGTAAGCATATGGCATAATTTACAAACGTATCAGTACCTGTACATCATCAGATTGTATTAGTATGCCAGTAATATGGAGCAACTAAACGCGAATGAAGTAAGAATCTATAATCAGTATAAAGATATAATCTAATTTTTAACAAACAAGAAAGTTATGATTAGCTAGCTATCATATTGGTAGTTTTCTGACATTATAGCTGAAGGCTTCCCAAGTGAAATATCGCGAGGTAGCCAAGATGTATGTGACGGAGGCAGTCATCTGCAAAAATTCTATCTGCGTAGGGCAATTAAGAATTGATATTAATACTTTTCGTATACAGTACTTCAGGCTACCAGCATGATGTAAAGTACTAATTAACCTCATAATATCATTTATCTTAATACCTACCGATTTATTTAAATGGACAGCCTTGATTAAATTTTGGATCATCGCACTTTGAAAATTAATTTCGCTAACTGAGTATAAAATAAGGAAAAGAGTATGAAATATTTCCTAATCTATATTTGTATACTGTCTGAATAGGGTTGCACGATGCCATTGCAAATCAAAATAACGCATTAGTTACCATTACTAGCAATCGCTTCTAAAATTTTTAAGCAATTTATAGTAAGATTTTCATGCGGAGAAACCAACATCGGAAGTATTAGAGATATTCTTTCTGTTAATTTTTTCGAATAATGTTATTCATCAAAGCCTCAATTGAGTTAAGAAAAAGTTCTGATGAATAAAAGTAATTGTAAACCTAGTTCTATGATAGGAACGGCTTCATTAGCATTTGGTATTTTTATAGGATAGAAGTATCGAAAGAGTACCGCCAGAGATGTTGATATTTCCATTAGCACCTCATAGCTATATGTGTAAAAATATCACAATATATAGTTTAGTAATTAACGGAATAGCTGAGTACAGAACTGAAAGCGTTTGACTGCTGCTTTTTTTGTTATATCCTCAGTATATGTAAATTGTTTGCTAACTGATCATAGAGTTCAACCAGTTCAAGTAGGCAAGATAATAATCTAGATCTGTCCAAAATATTTAGGCCATTATTAGTATCAAAGTGATACAGTGCATTTACTCAATATTAATTGATAGTTTGTTTCAACTCTTGGCTATTACTTTTTTCTTATTAGGGCTTTGTCTTCATCTGATGTCCTGCAACATGAGAAGTTATCGATATTATAAGATTTTTGTATTTAAACACTAATGAAAAATTAAATTTTACAAGGAAAGATTGAATAAAACATTTGCAGTCACTAACTTTATGGACGGAGCTGACAGATGATGATCTCTTTCGATGTCATTCAAGTTGGATTTATTTATGTACTGCAGTATTAATTGCCTAAATATAAATTTAATAACTTATAAAGCTAGTAAATCAGGAATAATATAGTATTATTGATCATTACTGTACGATACAGGTTAAAATATAAATATTATTTTATTCTTCTTCTTACCTCAGGCAATTAAGACGATAAACTAAATCTGCAGTTGACCTAGCATCATTGACATTCTATATAAGAATTTTGAAAATCATAGGAGTTTACGCGTACGATTAGAATATTATCGAAGTAGATGTTGGTATTAATTAGCTGTTTAATTTTCCAAAATTGATACAGACCATTAATGCAACTGATAACTGTCTCTCCTGGCGGCTCTCCTATTTCAGATGATGCATAAGTTATGAAAGAGGAAATGGGTTATCATAGTAAGAACAGCATAATTATATTATATGTATAATCAATACAATTACATTGATCGTTGCATTCTATTATGATGGTATAAAGTGCATCAGTTACATTGAATTACTTGACATATTAATCAATCGAATATATTCATGAGTGAGCTAGATAGTAGAATATAGATTTACGTTGATCCTTGCACTCTCTCGCGATAGTATTAAATACACCAGTTGCATTGAATTACTTACTATATTAATTAATCAGTTAAATAAATGAATTTTACGATAGAATACGAGTATAGATAGATCGTTGCACTCTTTTGCAATGGTATAGAGCACGTCAGTTGAATATTTCCATTGATTGTGGTACTCTATTCCTATAGTACGTGTATAAAGTACGTCAATCGGATTGAATTAGTTGATATATGTTACGGTGTTACCTTATTGTTAGAATAGTATAATAGTGCAGTATAGTAGTAGCTAATATGGAAAATATCCATATTTGTAGTGCTAGGTAAGATAAGTAATGCCTTAACGTGGATATTATTTGTGATAGTTTATTATATATTTGATATTGATTATTATTACGTGTAGATAGCAGTAAGATGATTCAAGTTCTAGCTAATGATAGTTGAATTAGACAACATAAATACTTAGATTAAATATAAGTAAGAGATTTAAATATTTACTGATAGAAAAGCCAAGTAAGGAACATTTCAGTTCGAGATGTCTCTACTAGTAAGGTATAATATTAATACTGCTGCTGCTGTTTGCAAATTAGACGGTTCCTATATAAATGGGAACATTTGAGTAGCGTTGGGTGGTGAAAAGTTGTAGATGTGTCTATGCTTATAAAAGTTCTATTTTTACGGTACTTTGCTTTATGTGTTTAACGTTTAGTAAAAGAGCCTTTAAGTCAGTAGTCACTTTAGACTTTTACTGTTTGTTTCCTTGTCGTAGAGTTTAATTTGTGACAATATATGAATCAGCTAATCGGTTACATAAAGGAGATGTACATTAGAATATCTATACCAATTATAACAAGTCTAAATCAGGATACGCCTGCATTAATTAAGTACACACTCTATGGACCATCATCAGTCTCGTGGCTAGTTTAAAGTATATCCAACTCCATCTCTGCCCATAACATACAGTAACCTCAACACCTCCATTAGATTCAATAATCATAAAACACTTCATCTACCAATATTAATGAAATAACTTTTGCCTTTGTCATATTCATTTACTATATAATCATTTTTAGCATACACAGGATATTTTAACGTTCAAGTGCTACTCCAGTAATGGATCAATTGGCTAACAACAAAGCGACATTATCGAATTGACTGCCTCGATTGATCTAATATTAGTCAATATTTAAGCTGAGCTTCTACTGCTAAATCATCTAGATCTCCTGACTAAATTACTGCTAACGACAAAGCGGCATTATCGAATTGACTGCCTTGATTGAGCTAATATTAGTCAATATTTGAGCCGAGCTTCTACCGCCAATCATCTAGATCTCTAAGACCGCTAAATCATCCAGATCTCCTGACTAAAATACTGCTAACAACAAAGCAACATCATCGAATTGGCTGCCTCGATTGATCTAATATTAGTTAATATTTGAGCCGAGTTTCTACCGCTAAATCATCTAGATTTCCTGACTAAAATACTGCTAACGACAAAGCGATATTATCGAATTGACTGCCTCGATTGAGCTAATATTAGTCAATATTAGCGCTGAGCTTCTATCGCTAAATCGTCCAGATCTCCTGTCTATAATGCCGATGGAAGTCTGCTCATCCATCCTTCATTCTACAGTACATCATAAACTTTATCAATATGCATTACCATAATCTTGCAGAATAGACTTTCATTTACTGCTGGTGATGGAAACTAGGTCCAGGAATGCCCGTATTAATGGAGTTTTTCTACCAAACGTTAACCTGATCATTTACTTTGGCCGGAATGAATTGGAATGGAGGATTGATTTTGTATCACTCACCATGGTGATGTAACTCGGTAAAGTCTTCTATAGTATATCATGGGTTGTATACCTGTACAAGGAAGAGTATAGTCGACAGAGTCTAGCATAGTACTGTATACTATAATGTATAGTACTCTCTTAACACCTCTAATATGAAAATAATATGCAATACTGTCGCTATCTACTGTATGATGTAAGAGTCATATTCATAGAGATCAAAGATAGAACAGGAGAGCTTGGTCTTTTTAAACTTAAGGTAATTTTCCGACTGTACTCTTGCTCTAGCTCGAGAAATGGACTCCTAGAAGTCCATGGCCAGGTAGTGATAGATGGGGCTGGAGGCAAATATCTTATGATATCTTTCTTGTCATTGCTGTTGACAACAGCTAACTAATTTAATGTGGTAGAGACTAGTTGGAAGAGAGAGTAATGGAGTAGTCCCTGACGCCTGCAATCATACTTATAGTATAATAATAGAGCTGGGAATTATAGGTGATAATAGCTCTATCTAACCGTAAGTTACTCCGATTCGAGATACTATAAAATGGCTGAGGTTGCTTTGCACGAGATGATGTTAAGGCTATCAGTAGCAGAATAGTTACTGTACTGTAGCCTAGCAATTTTTGAGATTCTTAGGTATTTCTGCTCAGATAGCTTGTGATACTGACAGCAAGTCAGATAGATTAGATCGAGTGGGGTCTTTCCTTTTATCCGAGGTAGTAAACATCAGCCTGATAACATTTCAGTTTAGGGGATGACAAATTACCAATCAACGATTGTGGTTGATGTCTTGTACAAGATGATGGAATCAGTAGCAAGACTTAGGTGCAGTATTTCTGCAATGGTAGCCACAGTAGCTTAGCTTGCGGTACTGTCATTGATTTAAAATATCAAATTTATAACTTTTCGGTTTAGGGTATTACAAATTACAAATTAAGGCGCCTAATAAGAACCATTTTAACGGTGTAAATAAGTGAATATGGGCAATCAGTCCATATTTTAAGACTATCTTGTGCCAATAACGAGGTTAGGAACAGCACTGGTAATCTATCTTCATATAGTCTACACATTATTAAGACTTGTAAATCACTGAGAATCTATAGGGAAAAAGGTTGCCAGGAATTTCAGATTTTAGTGCTCTTATTTTATAATTCTACGAACTTCACGGACTGTTTAATGTTGGAGGATATTATACGATCTCTTGCGCTAAAATACAAATAGATGAGGCAATTCATTTATCTTTCCTTCGATATGCATAAAATACAGCAAATTATATGCGGTAATCAGCATTCTGAAATAGGCTGTAATGGAAGAGCTAGATTTATTTTAGACTCTATTCTTAAAATGATTATCTCATGAATAATTGATTATCATTCTTGATTTAGGATCACCGTTATTTGAATAAATTTTACATTTCATATAAATATAATACAAATTGCATGTTAAAATATATGAGAAGAAAACGCCAGGCACAAATATACACGTATGTATTTTCTATCTAGAGTATCAAGTTTTATAATCACTACGCAAATAAAGATAAGTTAGATGTTGCAAGCAATCCTATGAATCATTCGATTTCTAAGAATACGCATGATGACGTTATTTAATGTCGCGTTAGCATCTATTTAGAAATTGCCTAACAGTAAAATTGCTATGGACAAACTCTGCAAAACTTGACTGCAGATACGAAATTATTTTCTAGGGCGTTACGGGATCATAACCATAACTTAGTGGAACCCAAGTGATTGGGGTATGTCGATCGAAATTAAGGCTATGTCATAAATGTCATAAGTGGTTTAACCGAGGCGACCTAAATAAATGAATCCTCACGGATAATTCGAAATAGTTTAATACATCGAAAGAAATCGATTATCAAGCGTATTCTAAAAGTAGCTTTTCGCTACGCTGGTATATCATAATTAAGGAAAATATCACCTTGAAGCCATCCACACCCCTTAAAAAAATTTTCTCATATCTTTCGAAAAAATAACCTTAATTGACATCTTGGTATAAATTCAATGTTATTTGAACTTTTGTATGAAACTGTACAGCTCTTCCGCTAACGCAGATACTTCCGGTTGCCCATTTGTATGAATAATCCGTAACTGTGCTAGAGCTATATATAAGCACAAAATAAGCGGTATTCATTATTTTAACTTTTAAATTACTTCTTGATACTTCATATAAAATAATTTTTCTTGTATCTTACCAATAGCAATTCGTCTACTAATATCTGTTCTATACTACATTCGGTTAGCATTTATCCATTGTATACTTACCATCATTCTTCATTTCTTTCGATAGATTCGGTAGCCACTAAAATTATAATATATATTAGTATACATGATTTCATGTTTTTAATATATTTCAGATATACTATCAATAGACTTCTACCAACACAAAACTATTAATATCAGATTTCGTATTAAGAAAGTAACCATACCTTACACTTTGATACCACAGAATGTAAACCAAAGAAGGATGGCATCATATTCTATTACGTAGTAATAACAAATATTTACAAATTAATGTGGGTCTTTAAATCCTAATTACACTTAAAAACAAGCAATAACGTATATAACAGAAATGAGTAATCTAACCTTATATTTATTTTGATCAATTAATGATGCAAACAGGTAAATAATCATTCGGTCATGCTTTTGGACAAGATCACGTACCTATTACAGTTTAAAATAATAATAATTACGGAATAATTATAGATTTTGCTTAGTAGATACAATTTCAGTAAATGTTTTATCGAACCTGATCATCACTTGCAAAATTGATCATATCTGCGAATATACTTGTTATCATTTTCCTATCCAAGCCAGGTGACTGTCAACGAGATTATAATTACTAATGTCATATAATGATACTCTCTTATTGAATTGGCAGTAAATTATCCTGCTTAATTAAACTATTTTTACCATTTCTGAACATTTAAATATTGTAGAGACCACATCTTCATCGATCATTTTCTATTTAATGGAAAAAGGAACCGCAAAGTTAATGTGTCACATTCAGATTTCTGAGCTTTAATGATTGATATTTTGCATTGGTATTACGTTAATTTCGTTACCTGTACTAGTTCGTATCCATGATAAATTAATCGATTGATAATGGTTAATATCTCCTATAAATTACATTAGTTAATTTCCAATAAAAATATATGTATCGCTGTAACAGTATTATTAGTATCAAAACGATATGTTAATAGTTTTGTTGTATTTACTAACCGAAAGATCAGAAGTACTATGAATACACTTTTTACGTAATAGATTATGAAGATAGGACAGCACTTTGCTATCTAGCAGAAACTGGTAAAGGGAAATAACAATTAGTTTTGAATAGATATCATATTGACAGAGCTATTATAGCATATGAAGTATGAAGATTATTAATTTGTATGAAGTCAAATTCGTTAATTACTTTATTTTCATTGTGAGAAACCTTTTCAATCGCGAAGTACAACAACTCAACGATAGGATTCTGTCAAGAAAAACGAATACAAGTCTAAAGCAATCGTAGTTTCTAACTCATTGAATATTGCCTATTCTACCGATAAATTTACGTTAATTTGTTCACAATTTTCAAGTACCTGCAAATATAATGACTGGCTAGCTACAATTTCGCATGCATAACCAGTAGGAATTAAATCCATATTTAATTGCCAAAGCTATTAATTTTTAATTTATTAGAATGGTTACTCCGATAAAATAAGTTGATGGACAGCATTTATTTGTGATAGCTGACACTTAAACAGTTGCTTTTACAAGAATAAACATCACATAGAATTATGTAATACTTTAAAAAGATAAAATAGCTAACCTCATCATCAGTTTCATCTCTTATATACGAAAAAATTGTATGCCTATTGATTATGATGACAGTCCATGCCTTTAAAATTTCTTTTAATACCTATAATATCGTATATTGAAAAGCTATGGTATAAAAAGAGAAACATAGTACAATCTTTGCTAATTAATTGCACCGGGTTAAAGTATAAATTAATACTTTGACTGTATTGCTTACTCTTTATATGAATTTCATTTCACTACATGTACGTACCTTGACATCATCCGATTTAATTAGCAGAACGACGATTTGCAGCAGCTACAAAAAAGTCGTGAATGATATACCATTTACTTTAGCAGTAAACACAACGTATAGCAATATTATTTGCAGATATCGTTCATATACCGGAATGATATGAGGAGATTGATATAAATATTTCATGCAAGCATATACTAATGACGCTGTTGATCGAAGGAATTGAGTCTAGCGGTGTAAAAAATAATACAAGCTAAAATTAGCAATCGCATGCAAGCTATCATCATAGTACGGTGTAACAGTGCATTACTTACGGATCTACCCTTTGCGATTACATCGGCAATTTTTTGAACATCATCAACTCTAGTGATTAATATTTCCTCTATAATTTTTAATAAATTGTACATCATTAAAATTAATTTATGGCTATGCAACGCTTACTCTTTATTAACTTGAAACCATACCCGCACAATGGATGAGTAGCTGCATCGATTTAATGGCAAGATCTTCATATGGAGAAGCTAATAAATTAATCAATACTGGGATACAATCTATTTACATTTAAGTAAAGGATAAAATCAAAATTTTAGATTGACCTGCAGTAAAGTTACAATCAAGAATAAGTACTTCATTTTTTAAACATTGATAATTTTCACACGAAATCATAACCTGAAGCTATAGGAAAGGAATAAAAATTTGAATCACGACTACAAACTGATTCCAATAGTAGCATGATATCCATATCTAGATCGAAACTGCAAGACAAGTTTTAGTTGTAGCGTCAACAAACGTGGATGCTGTTTAATTATGAGCTATAATGCAGTATACCTATCGCTTTTTTCTATTAACTGGAATAGTTTTGAAACCAATTCACTTCTATGTCAATGATGATAGACAAATTAAGTTGGTAAATTTATTGTTAGACTTGGTTCTGATAAAGTTTTAAATCAGTGACAAGATAGGTGTATGCATATTTTATTGCTTTTACCTAGAACGGTTAAAGATAGTACAATCTTGAATATAACCAAACACGTCACCTCTGCAATTTAATTTAATTTAATTCTTTATATTATAATAAGGCTTCCAACGGCTATTTTTGTAAAAAAACATTAATGTAATGATTGTCTATGTTATAAATTCAAGTTATTTTATAGAAGTAGAATGAGTCAATATAATTTATATCGCTTAATAATTCTCAAGGAAAATCTTAGATTCGTGGCTATCAATGATGAAAAAAGAAGTCGATTAAAATATCTGACCTTCCGGCAGCCCAATAGCGATGAGATACTATTCTGGGCAGTAAAAGTCTAAAATTTCAAGAGCGTCTAGTTATTAATACATGTAAATAAAATTCAATTAAGGTTGATAATAGTATACGTATAGTATAAGCTAACAAAAATAAACACTGATGTTTGCGTTTACTTTAAATGATGTATTGCATTTCGAGTATCATTACAACGTGGACCATGTCGGACATTCTTCTTACAGGGTAAAGACATACATATAAAGATATAAAAATAGTAACGATTAGTGTATATAGGTACTGTAGAATTGATATATAAAAAGTTGTATTTAAATATCAAGATACCTCGACTGCGAGTGAAAAATGATCCAATAAAGCATCAATCTAAAAGTTTAAGATTGAAAAAATTTTGACTATTAAGTTAAATTAGTTAAACCTCATATTGTTATACATCAACGATATTTTTCTATAGTAAACACCCAGAAAAATTGTAAGGCTACCAGAATTTGTCTTACAAAGTGTCTTATAATGAACTCAAAATTACAATAGCATGGCTTAGTGTTTCGTTTTGCGAACATATTTTTATTGGTATGACTAATACCAAAGTTTAGTTACTCCTAATCTTAAATTGTTTTACGCCAATTGAAATGCTTAATTCTACTATAACACGCATATAGTCGTGCAGATTGTATTTTGATACACAACCTTTGCTAGATCTTCATCTTCACTGTCATTAGAATCCTATAAAGGAGTATTAAAAATTGATTGATGAGAATAGTTAACACTGGTAATATTATTAACATTATGTCAATGATGGAAAAATATTAGTAGTTTGTAATCACCTGCTTTAAACAATTTGTTATTGTGATATCAAATATTGTGCATGCAAGTTACCATTTTGTGCCTTTTAGTATTACCGTTGTGTTAGTGGTTATAGTTAACCGACATAACTAGTGAAAGTAAAGAATTTCATCTAGTACGGTGTTTGTTAATTAAACAAGAAAACCCTAAAGCTTTCGATACTTGTATGTTGCTAATCTACTCAATGTTGTCCCAGGTAGTATTTGAATGACATTTAAAAGACACACATCATCGATTAGCTAGCTTTCAAAGTTCTGATCTATTCGACAAATGAATGTCATCATTTGGATATTGCATGTGAAATCATACTCATTGAAGGAATTGTTTTCTATAAGCGTATTTACCTAGGGATCTAGACAATCCTATAGCTTATGATTGAGGTAATTAATCAACATAAAGACAAGATTGTCATCTGCTATGGAACATGTTTAGCCGGTCATTTTCGTGATTGAAATGGAAAAATCCTCCAGCGTTAGCAACTACAAAGGATTACTATTGCTCTTTAATCGCAACAATTATAGATTCCATTAAACCATTAATAACGGTGGAAATTGTGAGAAAAAAATCTAGTAATTATTCAAATTGTATACTCTTATTCTACTATGTATAGAATTTGCACACCAAAAAATATTGATCAGACGATTGACGTATACAAACATGACTAAGACAAGGTATTACAAAATGATTACTGCTGTCTTATCCCTATTTTCGTTAGATTCATCTATCTATAGCGCAAAACTGCTACTTCATATCCATCCAATACGCCTATTTCAATCACGATTGATTCCTTCTTACCTCAGTTATCGAATCGTCCTCTTCTAAATCACTGAAACTAGCCATAACAACAACGTACGCGTATCAATTAAATTAATGCAAATAGCTAGCAATTCGTTCTACAGCAGTCGTGTTTGGAATGGAATGGATCGCTAATTCCTCTACTCAATTGCTTTGACTACTTAAAAATCCAATTCAAGTAATATCAGAGTAAAAATATCTAAGTCGAGCAATTGATGGATATATAATGCAAGTTTGAACTATGTATCCTCACATATGGTGATGAGAATAATAGATTAGTAATTAACGAGCAGCATCCTATATTGATGTAGTATCTCCAACTTGTGATTGGTTTTTTGTCCTATTTCTTTAGATAGTATCACATGGCAACTGGCGATTGTCTTTAAGTTATATATAGAAAGTGTGTATTGTTTTAATGCCATATAGTACGCTATATTATGAAGTGCTGTGTAAGAACTAATCTATGCATTGCTCTTATTATATATTATGAGAGGTGAAAGATCCGTTATGGGGGATATTGGATTTACTTTCGCACCTCGAGCAGTAGCTCTCGATCAAGCAACCCAGGCGTCAAAGATAAATAATCGAGCCTAAGAATCAATTGTAATTATCTTTCTAGGGGTGCAATCATTATCCTGCATGTTGCAATCAGCTAGTTTGCACAGAGGATGTCTTCAACGGGATAAATCTATAGGTTTATCCGACCCATGGTGGTTCTTTGATGTTCTATACCATGCCAATGAGTCAGTTCATTTCCATATAGTGTATAGGAAAGTATACCAAACAAAATGGAAACGATCATACCATAGCCTTAATGTGTTGTGCGATCCTTTTACTGCTTGCAACACAGTGCCGCCATAGCATTTGGAAAAAGGCTCTTTACGGTAGCTTTTTTCCTGTGCTATTGAAAGAATGAAGAGGATTAACTAGATAAAAATAAAGTCTGGAAATAAAATTGACTTTTGTATAGAGTAGATCTTTTGGATTAACCTGAAAGAACGATTCCTACAAATGCTGTACTAGGGCTGTTTGATGCCCAATTCTTAAGGCAGTAATTTAAATAATAAATAGGGGACATTATTATTAATTATTAGTCGTTTAGCTTAGTATGATCGTGGTGCAGTATTCAAGTCGCCACAAAATTAGAGACGGAATGTTACTTGTTCGTAGGCCTACCATTAGCTCTATTTACTGTATCAAAGTTGATAATAATAACTATTTTTCAGTGGTCCGAACAATCTGTTATATGAAATGCTTCCATTAATTGTGGAAATAATATTAGTGATTCATTCGTAATTTACTTCAGTAGAATCGTAATACAGTATTTAGGAATTTACAAAGTTGCCACAAAATTAGAGACTAAATGCTGTTTATGGGCCTCCCATCAAATCTATTTACTGGATAGAATTTGATGATAGTTACTTTCGGTAGTCCCGAACAGTCTATAGTATGAAATTCTTCTATTATATAGTTACTTGTGGAAGTACTATCAGTAACCCATTCAAGGCAGCATTTATAAAATAAATGATTTCTCATATTGTAATAGTTCGTAGTACTATAATTTATGGTTTTATTTTTCAGTAGCCCAGAACAGTCTATCATATGAGTTTCTTTCGTTAATTGTGAAAATACTATCAGTAACCCAGTTATACAGTAGATTAGTTTAGTCTACAATGGTCGTAAGGCAGCATTTAAGATTTTATGAACTTACCTCAAAATTAGAGACGGTATGTTATTTATAGGCCTAGCATCAAATCTTTTCACTGAATAGAAGTTGATAATAGCTATTTTGCGGTAGTCCCTAACCGTCTATTATATAAAATTCTTCCATTATGTGTGAGAATACCATCAGTAACCGACTCGCAGTTTGGTTTAATGTAATCGTCGTGCAGTATCTAGAATTTTATAAAGTTGCTATAAAATTAGAGGCGGAATGTTACTTATGGGGCCTACCATCAAATCTATTTACCGAATAGAAGTTAATAATAGCTATTTTTCGGTAGTACCAAACAGTCTATTGTATAAAATTCTTCCATTAACTGTGGAAATGCAATCAGTAACCCACCCAAGGCACCATTTATGAAAATGAAATCAATTGTCATATTATAATAGTTCATAGTAATATAGTTTATGATTTTATGATAACAAAATATATAGAACCTTATCAAAGTCGCAAAAAAATCAGATGGTAAGCCATTGCGGAAAGTCTACCACTAAAAGTATTCATTAATAATCGATACTATACGATTGCTCCTGAAGCTGATGATAGCTATTTTAGATAGTTCTTAACAATCTATGATATAACATTCTCTCTTTATTTGTTAAAATATCGTCTTCAATCACGTTATAAATTACCTACTATACCGAACATAGCATAATATGAGTTGAAATGTGTGATATAACATTCGAGGTGCTCTGTAGTGTTCATTTTATTTTAAAATTTTCCTACATTAATAAAATTGTGACGATAAGATCTATCAGAAATTAGTGGCAAGTAGATACTAATAGCCGCGGCACTGTAGATACTTTCATTCACTTGCAACCAAAAATCATGATAAGAAATTGGCTACTCTAGCACCTTTGAAGAGCAATGTGTAGTGATAGCATATATATGATATTGAATAGCTATATTGACCTTAATAAACATAGTAATTCGATTTCCTAAAGTTAAGAAAGATCCGATTCTTATTTTAAAATATGCCGGTAAATTTAAATGCTGTCATTTATTGCACTTTAAGTTGTCTTTATCTTATGATGGCAAAGTTCATTGAAAGGTAAGCAAAAAGAATATCCGTAACTTCACAAAGAGAAATAAGGGACGGCAGGGTAGAAAATATATTATGCAATAATCCGTAAAACGCTGTGATAATGCAATCTTAAGTCATTGTCCATCCAATGTAGTGTAGGTTGCAGTATAATTTTTACGTCCTAAAGGAGCATACATAACTTAACTCGAGTCAATTTCTTCCAATATACTTCATAATAATCTAGTCTAATAAAATTTAATTGGTACTCTATGCTGAAGAATTACTACGTGCGTAGATGTCTATTGTCACGAACTACACCACAGTAAATCTTATTTAATTCAGGAAATAAGATAAGGCAAATTAATTACAGCATAGGCGTATTTATTTCCCAGTTGTTCACAATCTTAATATCAGAATGCCCCCTCTGTTTACTAAAGTATTTACCTTTTAAGTTGTATTGATAATTAATTACATAAAGTGAAGCATATTTTATCATGATATCATGATATTTAGCATATAAGTATAGGGAACGGAAAAAATCAATCAGTAGTCAATCTTATACAGCCTAAACAGTTATTAAGTGGTTTTAGACATTTTTTATAGTAAGGACTAGGATTTTCGACCTATTATCTATTCTATTTTGACAATCAATAATACCCTTATTGTATGGTTAGATGCAATTTCAGGTCTATTCACTTTCATCTTTGCTTCTGGTTAGTCATATAAAAATGTCAACAGTAACTGAACTGGTCATTGATGGCGTTAAAAGTTCTTAACCCGACTAGATTAATGGAATTATTTAATTTATTCCAATAATCTTGATTTTCTTATTAGAATCGACTACACCACGAAATCTTTACTGCAGTGATTAGCCTTTACTGCTGTCGTCATGAAACTGAATTTATGAAATTGATCAAGATTTCTGGATCAATCAACTAATATGATCTCATCTATTTTTGTGCCTGTTACTGTAGGAGATTTATCATTACACCCGTAGTTCTTAGTGCTAAAATAATAGCATTACATGCTTAAAATATTGCCACATTTACTTCTCCAAAATCAATTGTACAAGAATATCTTTGTTGCAGTAATTGCCATTTTGTATTTATTGGTGCTAATGATTTTATTTACGAAATCAGTCAAAACTTATCTGCGATTTCTATCTCATATATTCATATATCATTAAAAAATGCCCTAAATTTTCTTGTAAATCACTGTCATGACGATATATTTATTTGTTTATGTAAGATGGTGCAGATTATCACATAATAAAATTTAATCAGCCCTCTGCGCATGCAAATTCACTTCAAATTAATTTTCAATAAAGAATAATAACAATTAATCCTTGTATAACTTCAAAATAATACGACAGGTACAGTTAAATATATAAATATCCCTTTTCTCGGAGATAAAGGTAACAAAAATTGGCAATTAATTGATCTAGGCAATCATTTGTTATATTGTACGATACATTTCGAAATTGTTAATATAACAGAGATAATAATATCAGCGATAGAGATGATTCACAATTTAATAATAAATTTATTGTTAACTGAGAATTAGTTAAAGTCACGTTGCCGGTAATTAATAAAGTGAGTATGATACTGATTTTTAATAATTAATCTAATAAACCTTTATTATTTGATACTTATTTACTTTTCTCGCAGCTAGGAGTAGTTGGGCTTTAAACAAAAATAGGATGGAGGATCACGCACAGGTTTGATATTTGTAGAAATTTTCATGGCTTGTATCCATTAAAGTGGCCTAGAATTGCCTTTAGTAAATTGATATTCTAATATAATAATCACACTAACATTAAAGCCTATTTTAAAAGATATTTAGGCCACGTAATACTTTAAATAAAACTATTAGCACTAATCTGTTAAGAGTATTTATGCAGATAAAATGTCTATAAGAATTTAAATGCGAGTATGTAGGTAGCGATTAAAGCGAACTTATAGCTTTTAATTTAGTTTATTTATTATAACTAATGTCTTTTAATAAAATCTATTACAACTCATAATTATTGTTATAAAATTCGGACAGCTCATTCAATCTATTACTTTTCTAGCCATTGGATGTTGAGCCATTATGGTATATTTGGAAGGTAAGAGTTAAAGTTGATATATCATTTTAGCCATTATTATGGTATCTTCCATAACGTGATTGGAATTTCACGAGGCTATTGAAAATATTATATGATAATATTATAGAAACTCGAAGATGCTACAAGCCAATCCCTTATTCGACAACATATTCATTCTTTAAGGTAAAAGTTTATTATGTAGTTATATCACTAAATCCGAATGTATAAAATATGACTAGTGCCGGCAAGTACATTAATTCAATCTTCTTGGTACACAGATATTTACTCAGTTTCCCATATTAAATATAGGGAAATCATCATGCAAATGACATTCCATGTTGAATGGAAGTTAAAAGATTGCCAGCAAGGTCTTGTATCTCATCATATTATCAAGTAAGTTATTAATAGTGAAAAGAGTAAAGCATTCCAGAATGGCATTCTTGAAATTAATACTCACACACTTTATGATGTCTTATGATGATTTGAGAGTCAAGATTGCATTTTACTTAAAATAAGGCAAATGATGATATTAACAAAGATAAATAACGTAGTATATTTAAAACAAATGCACTGTTAATATTTTTTACATTACATAATAATTTGAAGATCGATGTTGCATTTGTAAGGAGAGGAGAATAATGATGATAAACAGTATAATTCGTTGGCATAGTATTCTTTAAGTAAATGTATACCTATGCAATGTATGTTACAATTAGTGATGTGGCTTTTCCTAAAATTTAGTTACTACAATAAGGATAGTATTAGTGCCGCAGAACACCTGAATATATTAATCTAAAGATAAATATATGCGCAGATTTATAACTCATTACGATGATTTCAAGATTGATTTTCATCTTACTAGGAATAGGGCAATTTTTAATTGTAATCAAACTATATCTCCCGTTAGTGATAGTAGTAAGAAAAATTTACAAGTGAAACCTTACTGTGATTGTAGGTAAGAAATTGGCGATGATTCTTTCTATCGGAGGTTATAAAAGATTCTTTATTGTACTTTCTTTAATTATTATTCACTTTTGGTATATTTCTAGGGACAAAGTTATAAGCTATTTATTTTATTTACTTGGAAACACTAACGAGTACGATAATTTATAGAATACTGATATAAAGTAAACTTTCTAGAGCATAAGCTGAATGATATTTTAAGATAACATCTTACTGTCTTTAAATAATAAAGCTATGACTTGCAATTTGAATCCATGGATATTATTGTCATCTTACTCAACTATGATCTAACAATAAATTGCCATTACGCAGCCATAACTCCAGGTATTTATAGTATTATCTTATAACCAAGCTATTAAGCCATTTTAATTTCAAAAAGTAGTGTTACGAATATATATCAACTTATTTCATATCTTGTGTTACAGCTGAACATGAATTACTAATCCAACTGCTTTCATCGCCATATGAAGAGATTGCTATTAAATCTATTCAGATTTTACAAGTTTATGCGAGTAAATATTTATAAAAGTACAACATTATCAAATACCCTATCCGATACCATAGTACTCACTAAAGTATATTGAATATTGTATAATAATTATTTAGCTTATAATGTACGATGTAAATACGTTTGATTTTGTTTCTTTACTTTCTAAAACAAAAGCAATCGGCGTAATGATTTATAGTACATGATTATTTGATGAAATTATTTTCATCCCCATTTGACTAGAAACATTTACCGTTTCAAAACGCCAATTTATACAGGAATTAGTAAAGGTTGTCAATGCTGAAAGATCGGTAAGACTATTCGAATGCTTTCGCCTTATACTGTAATTTAGTCTAGAGCAAAACTATTATTAAATTTTTTCTGCCTCGATAAACTTACTATTAAAATTATTTTGTAACAGACTGAATTTTTGCAAGCAACGGCATCGACTTTAAACATTTGTATTCGATTATTCTATCTTGTACAAGAGAATTTTGCTGCTGTGAGAAGATTTATAGCCTGCTTAAATTACTTTATTAATCACTGAAGCATGAACAGCATTTTTCTGCATCAATTAAGAGAAAGAATAATAATTTATGCGCATATTTCTTACAGATAATGCAAATTATCGCTATTTTAATTCAGTCTGATAGCGTTAAGGTAAATTATAATTATTATCGAAAGGAGAGAAAAAGTAGAATTTTCTTATTTATTATCATTCAAAACCATTCCTAAGAAGTGTCCAAATATTAAATAGATTTTAGAAGAAATTATCGACATATTAAGACTTATTCTACGATTATCGCATTCAATCGGAGGTGAAGGCAAAGTAAGCTTACTTCTACCAGTAGCTAAATATTTGTCAATTCTTTATGGTTATAACCTAGACATATCAAATCACGCGCCTAAATTTCAATATTAAGTTTGTTATAATAATGATTCCGATTACTTCTGATCCAATGATAATATTCGACTTTTGTAGACTGTTTTTTACTCTATCATTGGAAGAATATTGGAAATCATGTCTAGTCAATCGAAATCTCTTCAGGTCAGAATTGATTACGGTATAAATAATAATCAGACTTAATTATAAGTGTTTTCATATAAATTGAAAGTAATCTCGGAAATGTGGAAATAATATGAAAACTTAACTTAGAAGCTATTTACTTTGATTAAATAGCAGTTGTCATTACGTGACATAATCTTGCTGAGCCTTATCGTTACTTTATGAAGTAATAGTTTAACTACTACCCTGACGACACTATAGAACGAAAGAATTAGTAACAAACTTAAGTTTTGAAAACAATTTATTAATTAGTTTGCACTAAATTTGAGGCTGACAGCAATATCTACCATTAGCCTATTAATGTATTATACGTTAAATTTGGGCTCTATACGTGTATAGCAAATTATAAGCTTTTATTACCATGCTTAGTACTGCAATATATTCCCTCTCATGCATTGCAAACGTAACTTGTGTTTAGTGGACCAGCCTGGCAATATTAAAGCTAGTTTATCCATAGATCATATTTTACTTAAGCAATTCTTCATTTGATTTGTTATTTGAGCCATAATTACTGCTTTATATTATCATAGCATTTCTTAGCATGCTCATTGCACAACTTATGATTATTTAGGAAGCAACGCTACGTCTTACCGAAGACTTAATCCGAAAAAATGATTTCGTTGGTGTTTCTAAAGTTAGTATATCGTACAATGTATTTCATATTTGTTAGGATTGACAAAATATCATAAAATCTGCCTAACATCATTGCTTAAACAGTTAAAACTATTTATAAATTGATGTAAAAGTTATGGATAGGTGATCAAGTTATTAGCCATCTTAAGGTCATATTGCAAAATCATCAAGATTATGGCATCTACCAAATAACAGTGAGTAGTCGTGTACGAGCTTGAACCCAACATCCTTTCCAATTGAGCTAAATAAATTGGCTATTGAATCATTTTGATAGATCGTTTTAGAAACTATCGAAAGAATGATGGACAACCATAGACCCATAATACAAGTACTGCCAATACCAGATATGTATTTACAATTTTGTCTATTTCTAAGGGAATCTCGTCTGTTACAGGTGGTCATAGATCAGGATATTATTACGCCAATTTTAAATTGCACGAATATCGTAAGCTATTGATGTTTCCTTATCTTATTTCAATTTTATACTAACACGATAGAAGAAATAGTAAATTTGTATATGAATGGATATTCTAAAGGATAAATCAGCTTTACAACCTATGATACAGCTCATTAGATTGCCGCTAGTTTATATCAGTTCAATGTTTAGTAATAATACTCTGAGAATAAGATTTTAATTCCATATAAAATTCATCTAGGTAGAACATAACAAAATACTCTTATAATTCGGAATTTATAAAGTTGCTATCCGACTGCAATAGTTATAAGAATTAAGCATCTGATGATATAAGGTTGACGATCGACAAAGATTACCAACGCACATCTGAAAGCTAAAAAATGTTCCAAACTCCTACTCAAACAGTGCATGACTTTGAATAGTTAACAATTCAGTAAATAAATAAGGAACTAAGCGATTTTAGATATTCATCTTGTAGCATGTTAATGTGTTTTTAACTAGAATTTTTTTCATGACAACTACCTGGACGTTGTCTTTAAAGATTATATATTACTATTTTCTTGTACATTGCGTTTCTTTATTAAGATAGCTTATTTATTGTAATTCTCATCAGAAGATGCCATTACATCCTATACATATATATAAACAGATGATTTAATAATGAATACAGAGAATAAGAAATATTCTGTGTATAATTCAATTTTAGTATTCTGACCTACATTGGATAACCTGGAGGATCATTCTTCGTGCAGTTAAATTTAGGCCAAAAGAGCAGGTTACGAAATAAATGTATATGGCGTATTTAAACTTAACTATTGTCATGTGATATTTTAAAATACTGTATATCACTTTAACATCAATTTCTAGGTCCAGTCATTAATGAAGCACTATAACTTGACATATCTCCTATGTAATAAATTGCAGACGGAAAATGATTGCAAGGTAAAATTCAATGATATATGGAACTATATCTATATCTATCTTATTTACTATAATGCAAAGCATCCTGTAGAACTATTACTAAGCAAAATTTTATGATCAATTTTAAATCTACACATACTGCAATACTGTAAATGCTGATAGGGCCGAATATTCTATATTATTTGTTACCCATAGTTAAAGAATTAATATAAAATTTAAAATATTCATATACTGTACACCAGAACTTAAATGTAAAAGTTCTAAAACTGAGGAAGTCATGCAGACATCATTTGATAGCTTCTAAGATTTTCGTAAGGCGATACATATGAACGTCTATATATTACTGACAGCCTTACTCCTTACAGCACGGATTATCTCTTAGCGTAGTATGCTGTACTATCGTCAGCATTTTAAAATAATGCTCTACGATAATATAGCCTACAAATTAAATCTTTTAGGAATAACCTTGTATCTGGAAGCCAGAGTGTTTTCTTATAGTGTGCAATTGTTTTAATAAGAATTTGTAGCCTCGCTTTTTCTTTAGATATAATAGGCTAAAGGAAGAAACGTAGTCATACAGCAATCGATTTTTTCAATTCATGTTCTTAGTCATTTTTATATGATATAAATATTAATTGACATATTTTTATATAATGTAGAGCTTAAAAAATGTACTAAAAACCATGTTGTCATTTACAGAAATCTTAAAGGTAAATATATTACTCATATTAGATACTCTTTTTAAATCTTGTGGAGTGTACGTGTATACTGCAATATCATCGTCTCCAAGTTGATGCTTTCAGGAAGTAAAGTGCTTAGAATATTGCAAACATAACCTTTTCTATATTTCCTTAGGGCATGCCAGATCTAACATCCAAAATGAAAATAGATGGTAAGCTACCTTCGAGCATGTTGTAATAGCTAAATATTCTAGCAATTTGGATTTTTTATCTAATATCCAAGTTCATCATGACATTGTGTTAGTAGAGATTCAAAATGCAATCAACCTATCATGTTATAATCCGTTGATTTTTTTGGTAGTATTATCTAGGATCGATCTAATATGCAATAAATATAAAGATGATCAGAGATTAATACAACTTGCTCAGGAACTCCATCATTTACTAAATCGTAAAAATTCTAACTGCCGATTGATGTAGAAAAACAATTTGAATTTTCTCGTAAAATACTGAGTAATTCGGTTCAATAAATGGAATAATTGTGGCATTGAATATAAATTGAAATTCACTTTTTTTAATAATTATGTAGAAATAGCGACTGATCTGTCACCCATGATTCCTGTTAAAAAATCATTTCGAAGTAATAAATGCAGAGACGTCTATTACGAGGTTTTGATAATCTTGTTTAACATCATTTGCGATCAGATTCTAATTATTACTAATAATAACGTTAGTTATCAGTTCTCAACAGTTTATATCTCGCGTGATTTCTATATGGTGTTAGTATAGTCAACGGAAATGATGTTTCTTGCAATATTAACCGCTTAAAATTGAATTAGCTTTACTATTACTTATAGCTTACAACGGACAATAGAAACGAGCACGTATGTAAAAGGTGACCATAGAGTTATCCTAATACGCTTTAATTTGAAAAAATAAAGGAAGATTACGATTATTAAGTTGCGATATTTATAATTCTATGAATGACTGAACCTTGAATAAATAAACTGCAACTGAGTAGTTATTTTAAAATGTACTTAAAATAATAAGGAAAATGAGATAATTTATTTGCCATTCAGATTCAAAAGCTAGTCGTATGATGAATTTGAAGGGTATTTTCGTGGAATAAGAATCTCTGAACTTAATACTAAACGAAATGAATGACTAAAACTTTAAATAAATAATCTATTATTGACTAATCATTTTAAAATGTACTTAAAAATAATAAAGATAAAGAGATAATCTACTCGTTATTCAGATTCAAAAGTTAGTTGTGCGACGAATTCGAAGGATATTTTCTTGGAATAAGAATATGTAAACCTAATGTTAAACTTGAAACTCACGGATAGAACCAACTAGGTTTTTCATCTTTACCTTCACGTTCATTAATATTATCGTACATAATATACTCATATAGTCAACCTATTAATCATTTGAAATCTTTATTTTACGTTATATTCATGCTTTACTTGATTTATAGTATAAACTATAAGCGAAATAGACTACAATATCAGAGCTCTCATCTAGATTTCATGATTAGTTGTGATTCATTTACAAGGGCACTTTCTCTATCAATTTTTATTTCGATCGATTTCCAGACCAGTCTGAGGCCACGATAATAATTGTCTTCTTATTGCTTTGTAAAATTTTGTCAATGTAAACTTATCTCCGGTAGAAGGCATTAAATCGGTAAATTTAAGTAGAGTAGCTCAGATACCCAGTCTTTCTCAGATAGATTAAGTAGCTCGTATTAGCGGTAACTGTTTTGACTAGCCATATGTATTAATGAACATTTTTACTTAAATGGCTCTTTAACTAAAATCAACTACATCATTAGTGAAATTGAACCGCGGTGATCAAAAATCTAATAAGCTTGTTGATACCGATTCAGAGTATGCCCGGTATAGGGTTCTAAATTGTTGTTACTCTACAAGTTGAAATAAACTATTTATGGATATTTAATCTTTTACAGAATCACCCTAGTATATTAATGCTTTTCCATGCTGATTCTCATTAACTGTAAGTGTTAGTAAAGATTTTTACCAGACCGATTCTTTATTAAATCAATTACCCCATTATTGAAACTAAAAGCTGAAATTAAATCACGATGACGACTAATTCAGCAATCCTCTTCGATTACATGTTCCTATACATGACAGATACTCGACAAGCGCTTTTATATGATCGATATATAAATATAAAAATACTAATTTTATGTATTTCAATCTCTTCCTGTAAGATTAGTCCGGTAGGTTAATACTTTCTCATGTAGAATTTACAGCTAACTAGAAGCCATGATGAAGATATTAACTCGGCAATTTCTTAATTGAAATAAATTACATCATTACCCAATTATTAATAAAACGGAAATTAAATCATGATAAAATAAGTAATCCAATAATCTTGTTAATTACTTATTCAAATACACGATCTATATGCGTTTTTAAGCGATTATTGTCTATAAATCTAAAGAAATTGGTGTAGTGTTCAGTTCAACACTTTCTTTTGTAGAATTTATAGCTACTTGTACATATTTGATTGTAATAATTTCTTGGTTCGTGCTTAATACAAACTACGTTGATTCCTTATTTGTATACAATTTTGAAAAGTTATTGCAAAACTGTTTCAAAGTTCAACATTCATTCTAGATCCTACTTATCCCATATTTATATATAGAGAGTGCGCGCGTTTTATATGCCTTTCCTAGGATATGTTATTGGATCTTATCAACATGAACTCATGCAAGATGAATGAACTAAAAGTTATTTGTGCTTTTTCGATATCATTGTCAAAATGATCAGTAGAACAATGATTCCAACATAACTAGACTATCATAGAAGTAACTTGATCGGTTATGGCGTTATTCAATCGATTACAAGGGTTTTGTCGTTCGAAATAGGACAATATTAGCCGCGCATTGAAAAAATAACCCGAAGTACTTGACAACTAACATTAGTCATTATAACAATACTTTCAAAGTATTGCCATCTAACTTATTATTACCGACGATAAAAGGCGTTGACATAATTGGACATCAATTGTTGGCTTACTTTACAACTATTGTCTAAAATGAAGGAAAAGCAAGAAAGATCATGGTGATAGCTATATTGTCAACAAGAAGTCGTGTTGCGACAAAGCAAATAATCGTAACTTGGTTTTGTATTCATCCTAGACGACCTCCAAGATGCATTGATCATTTGTTTTAGAATATCAACAAAGATATTCAACTCTATTCCATTTATTTCTTATCATAAAATCGTGCACTTCGTTTTTAACACTAGCCAGTAAGCCTAGGTAGGAAACTTGGATACATCATTTGGGCTTGCTTCCACGATCCATCAACATTAATCCAAAATTACAACTATGGCGTTTATTAGCAATTATACTCAGGTTCGAATCATTTCTATCTTTCTTGAAAACTTATTTCGATTTTTATATGCTTTGATAAGACAAGTTCTACCATTCATTTATTCACTCCTTACACAATTCAAACATTGACAATTTATTTAAATCTCATTTAAAACGAAACTACTATGGGACAAGATGATCCTAAATTATGATTTTACAAATATTTGTTATGGATTTTATAAGTAGGCAGACGGTTACTTACAAGTAAAATTCGATATGTAGAAGTCTTAGAATCCTACTTCATGAAAAACTAATACACGCGGAATGACCATAAGTTATGATTTTAAAAACACTGTATCTGTTGCGGATTTTATAAGTAAGCTGACGATTACTTACATGTAAAATTCAGTATATAGAAATCTTAGAATATCAATCAATGTGAAACTACTATAGATGACATGATTTTATAGGTAAGCAGACGATTACTTATATGTAAAATTTGATACGTAGAAATCATAAAATCCCACTTCATGTGAAACAACTAAGGATGAAATGGTCACAAATTAAGGATTCATCAGTACACGATTGCTTATAAGTAAAATTCGATGTCTAGAAATCTCAGAATCCCATATAATGCGAAACCACCGTGGACGAAATGATCCTAAATTGAGATTTTACAAACGCTGCATCTGTTATGCATTTTAAAAGTAAACAAACTATTGCTTACATCTAAAATTCGTTAAATAGAGATTTTAAAAACGCTGCAAAAAAATTTTATCAATCTATTTTACTTTTAGGTAAAGGTGTTTACTCTATTATATGTAGTAAAATAGCTGTCTAATTCTATCTAATTACCTATTACAAGTTATTTTTCGATTCAAATCTCACTTTTAAAAAAGCTTTCTAATCCAACGTGGACGGAAGCAGTTTAACAAGTTTAGGGTAATGATAACAAGTTATTTTATTGAATGATTACCTAGTAAATTACTAAACATCCAAGAATTTAGTTATCAATTGTTAGAGGTCAAAAATCGATAAAAACTCACGCAATATAACATGCTTCTTCGTCACTTACGGAACCTGATGTTATTTTCAGCTATAATTGTGTCTTGAATCCATAGTAAGCCACAGAATTTGTGTTAATTCAGTAAATTCAAAGAGATAAAATATCGCTATCTTAATTCTTAATCAAGTCGATCACAAGCTGTAATTGCTAGCCTTAGTCTAGAAAATTTTACAGGCTTTTACTGAAAGTACGTAGTAAGGACTTGAAAATCTTTAGACGTTGCAAGTTAAGCAAGAGCAAATGTCCTTACGTATGTCTAGTGATCACTGATTAATTTATAGGTTATAGTTAATTTAGAAATGCACGAATTTTTACTAAAAGTACTATGCAATCTGTACAAACAAGCTCATACCTGAGGCTACTAAATAAGGAACACTGTACCACTGCTTGTACATAACTGACATTTCAAAAATGCTAAGATCAGTGTAATACCTACAGTAAGACATAGAATAGCTATGTTAGGACCATAGAGAAGAACCTCAATGGTTAGGATTTCCAAGTGTTGGGAAGGCTTACTGTAGATCCTACAGACATCTTACTACTGTATAATTTGCCGTCGAGGGTATAAAAGCAGAGAGTTTTTAAGGGAGGTGTTTTAGTATTTCGTAAGGAATGGAAAAATCTCCAAAACTGGACATATTATACTTAAGGGTGCCTAGTAATCATTTCTAGCGTCTCATCACGATATCGCAACAAATAGAGGTTCAAGAAAATTAAACTTGCAATCCGAATTTCTAATCAAAGGCTTCTAACCACTATTATACCATCTACTAGTTAAATAATCAAGACAATTAGCGATACTACGGTATGGTATCAAATACATTAAGAAGTGATCAATATTGTTAGTTTGAGCATAAGTTTAACTTTCGTAAAACATTGAATTATGACTCGTATTGACAGCTGACGAAGATGGAAGTTCTTGCCCTATAACTTTATTTAGCTACTAAACAAATTAGTTTATCACTCCTGGGTAGAGATCTGTCCAAATATCGGTTAAAATCCTTAGGGCTATGAAGTAATTGACGAGGTGGTTGCGTCAACATTGTTGATACTCGATTAGGCATAATTTATATTTTCCTCTAATACTTTTATATATAGACAGATGACGGAAAGCTTCTTCCGTCAAATTACTCATGATAGCATAAAGACATCGCTTAATTACTCCTATTGCATAGAGATTTGTTCTGGCATTGGATGTCACCAGTAATGTTGTAATGTCGAAGTACGAAAGAAGAGTAATAAATGTAATTTTATATAGACAGATGACGGAATACCTCTTTCGTCAAGTTAATTTTGATAGCTTGAAAATATTACTTAATTATCACTGTTGGTCAGATTTATTCTGTCGCTAGACATCAGCTTTGATGGCTATCGGTCATGCATTTTCAAAGCATTTACAGTACAGAAACTGATTGTTCAAGGCCATCCAAATTTGTCTTCGCAATGGCTATTATTAATTGCTCGAATTGACAATGGCAGAACGCTATTTCTAGTCAACTACTTTCTAATAATATGAAAAATACTATTTAAATGATTAATAATGGACGCAATTCTATGCAAGAATGGTTAATAGTCATCAGTACTATCTATAATGGCTCAGGTATAACGGCAAGAAATAATCAAGTACAATATAGAGTTTTCTGGCTTCCTGCTAATATCAATTACTGATGTTGACAGATTACAAAATGCCATTCCCCGATCGATTTACTTTCTAATACTGCGAAAATTATTACTCAGATTGTTATAGACAGAAAGAAAATTGATAATAAAAATTACGAATAAGTTTTATTATCATAATATCATAATATGGAGTTCTAGGGAGAAACATATTACTGAAAATCATAGAATGCCGTCCTTGTTAAATTACTTTTAAATAATATGAAAAGCACTATTGAATTAAGACTAATAGATCAAAATCGATTGTATGAACGGAGCAAGTATTATAACAGTCTTCATATATGTTCAAGTTGCTTACCGTCTATGGTTAGCTTGATCAATACCGTAGTTAATGCATTCTTGTTTATAATTGGTCATCACATTAATAATTTATCTCAAATTTTAATGACAAAAATAAAACAGCCGTTTTCCCCTTTCCATCAAACTATCCTTCAGTTACCAACTTATGAACGTAACATTCGTTCTACTTTCGTTAGCGGAATTTTATGGTTTTGCCTTCGTCTATCACGGCTTAAGGATTAGTTATTTCCATTTTTTAATAAGCTTTTTAAGGGCACTAAAGCGGCCAAAGTATTCTAGGATGGCATGTTTTTGAGAGGAAATAATGTAATTTACTAAATCTAATTACACATGCGATATATCATACGTTGTCATAGAGAGTTTAAAACGAGTATTCGTTTCCTTTTTGTAACTCGAATTATTTTCTGTTATTTAAACTCCATCAATTTTATTGTAATGACAGTAAACAGAGATTTTCCAATCCATTTATAGGCCTATCCACGTCAGCTTTCAATGGAATTTCAGGTAGAAAACGAACAAATATTTTGCTCAGAATTACTTTCTCGAATCCATGAAGCTTTCGATAATTAGATTTTTAGATAAATTTATGACAGATGAACAACAAATTTCTTTGTTAACCTTGAAATTGATTCGCGATCGTAGACTCTACAATCGGCAAATAATGGCGATAATATTTTACGGATTCTTCAAAAACTGCGGTAATTTCTGAAGCATCCATGTTGATTTCTTTTACTCTTCAACTTACATAACATATTTATAAAAATACAGGAATACAGCAGACCGTTTCCTTCCTAAACCAATCTGGTCTCAAGGGCGAAATTTGGATAGCCCTCTTTCTCTTCAAATTATGGAGTAAGTTGCCCATAACCATGATTGCCTCAACATGTCCAGTACACTAAGCGCATCTTAATCAGAAAGTACTTCAGAAAGTATTTTCTATGTCTTTGTTAATTTATCTGATCTCTACTAATTTGGTTCTTACTTTTATTGCAGTGAAAGAGCAAAACCTATCGAGATTTGTTTACCTTTGCAACAGTATGTATTTTCTTCTAAAAAGACCGATAGAATCATAACTCAGATTATGTTAGCAATTGACTAATCCATATGTTTCTATAAATAATTTCATAGGCCAATCATTAGAAGACTGTTCAGCCTCTTAAAAAATTATGATTGGTTTGTGTACTTGTATAGGCGCTTGTGGATTCATTTCAATAGCCTAACTATCTTCTGATAATAATATTCTGTTTTCCATTGGGCTATAGTTATGATTTACGTCTAGAAATTATGGATATCTTACAACGTGTAATCAGTTATGATATTTATACATGCTACGTCAATAGCTCCATCGACAGCCATAATGAAGGTACAAATAATGTTTCATCCAGCATGATTGATTTATCTACTTTACATCATCTTTGCCGATTTTCATATTATAATTACAAATAACTTAACTTATCCAACGTGATTAATTTATCTACTTTATATCGTCTTCATTAGTTACTAATTTATAGATATAAATAAGATCTTTTATTCAGCATGATTGATTTATCCATTCTACATTATCTAGATCAATTTCCATACTATAGTTATAAATAGCTTATTCTTTCTAGCATGATTGATTTATCCACTTTGCATCATCTTGGCCAGTCGCCATATTATAGTTCATTCTAATGAAATCTTTCATTACTATTTCACGACTACTCGAGATCTAATCTCGAAAATGACTGATTCCCAGGATTGACCGTAACAATTATACTGATCTTGTAGAGCAGATCTAATTGCAACAATAAGCACAGCTAGGCACAACACGATGGAGGTTTATCTGTCGTTATGCTGTCTCATTTCGTATTCCTTTAGTTATACTTCCATATTGACATTGGTCAACAAAGATTCGCTTGTAATCAATGATTGAATAGAAATGGTTGTCAAGATATTTACGGTTTTACATGATCTATTTGTAATAGAATGTACCTAGCTCCATAATTTGACAAACAGACAAAGCAAATATGGAATGGCCATCATTTGTCTTTAACGCCTCAGGCAATCTTCGTGGTATACGTCTGTGTTAGTTCTTAATGATAATCTATCTCAATGGATAGTATGGATATAGTCTAGCCACGATGCTAAGCAACAATGATTATTGGGTTCTATCTGAAGAAAGATTCATTGATACATTTTCATGCTGTGATTAATCAAGTAGATGAAGAAGTTGTTAATGACTCTTAACGTTGACACAGACCTTTAGTTGTAAGCTTAAAATCAATCTAAACATGATATTCTCGTAAATAAGCCACCGGTAACGTCATAGCAAAATCGATAGACGTATGAAACTAATAGTTTATGATAGCTTGTCACAATCTTCACTTGTGGCAAAGATTTATAAAGACTCTAGAGTAGGTACGATAACTCAGCTACTTCTCCAGCATTTCCAGTCTCCATGAAAGCGATATTGTAATGATTTCAGCTAATTACAGTAGTGGTATGTTAGGAGTACAGTGATAGTATGCAGTATAGAACTGTATATCTTAATAAATGTCAAGAACCCATACACTACAGATATACGAGTATAAGAGAACTCGATTTTTAGACTAATGAATTGATACACTTTTCTTCGCGTTATGACTCCTGCACACTTTTTTAGCAATTGTCACTTTTATTCTGCAAACTACTCGCGCTTAAATGAATCTTTATAGTGCAACTTTGAGTGTTAATTTGCTCCTGACTTTTAATTCCTATGGAAATTATTGTAGATAAAGTACGACTACTACTCCATTTCTTGTCATTACCATATGAAGATCTAGCTATTAAATCTATGCAGCTGCTGTCCGTTTATGCGGGTAAGTTGATTCAGTTGGATCAAAATTTTGTTTTCATCATCCTTAAGACAACTTATATTTCAGTCTCTGTAGTACCTAAACTACAGTGGTAAACTATCACATTAATAATGGGAATAAAAGCTGAAAGGAATATTCTTACTAATTAGATTTAAAACTCATTCAAAATCGAGAGCTAAACTTTGTTAAAATGTTAGCTAAAGCCATTACCCTTGAAAAATCGGTAAGTTCTATTGTGTTATTTTAAATTAAACTAAACTTTTAATCTCGTTAATCATTTAATTTTGCCGTAATTTCATTAACAAAAGGTGGAATTTATGCATGCAGCGGCAACTGTTGTTAACATTTGCTTTAAAGATACTTTATTATCTCAGCATGACCATTTAGAAGATGTAAGAAGGCGTCAAATATTGCTAAATCACTCTTAAAAAATTGCTTTCTGCGCTATAATACTCATTTCAGGTCCAACTAATGTTCAGATTCTGAGTTTAATTTTTATTTTACAGCTGGCTGCGATTGCTTGTGTTCTACTTCAATCTAATGATGTTGCAGTAAGTATTATTATTATTTAGCGAAACATAGGCACGTATATTGGAATCCTTAAAAATTCCAACCTATAAATTAGGCCTTAAGTATTATACTATCCTGATCGCAGATTTCCGGTGAGATGATTTCATTGTTGGTGCAAGTATCTTCAGAAACGACATCTAGTAATGGGGTTAGTTAAAGCTATATCATTGCTGAAATTGGGATAGATGATTATTTAGATATTTTAAAATTGGTTATATATATTGAGTTTGGTAATGGTATTAAAAGTCAATCTTCTATTTGGAATTAGGCGTATATCAAAAAGTTATTTAACCTGATACCTATTGGCAACATTTTTGAAGTTCTAGCGGTGGGATCAATTCATCTAAGTGTAGGTTTAATTTTATTATGATATTAAACCGAAGAATAGAACTGGTTTTTAACTAGTGACTATCTTTTTCAATTAACTGTCTTAATACAATTTCATTTACATCTAGATATCCGTTGCATCTATGGTCTTCAATATTATTACTTCAAATTCTATTTCTCACTCTTCTCAGGTACTGAACATTGATTTATTTCTAGATGCAATCTGACTAAAATTTTTTCACTCCTAGTAATGATGGATAAAATTGTATCCTGATCCATCAGATGTAGTTTGCAGTTTGTACGCTATTTAAGCAATATTATTTTATATACATCATGATGGGATTAAACTTAGTCTGATTACGTTTAATAATATTTTAACCAATAAATAATTAAGCAACACTAGCTCATCTTTTTATACCATTACGATTTCATAGTTTCATTTTGGTCGAAAAACGTTAATATACTTGAAAAAAATGTTGAAAAAGCCTTCCAATTATACTGAATCCCAATTAAAGGTATGTACATTACAGTATGAAAATTGTATTAAGAACTTTGATTAGCGTGAGATACTGAGTGAGAATTTCAAAGTAATATTATTGTTACGATTATTTTTTAATTCAATAAAATCTACAAAATTATTTCCTATAATGTTTGATACTTTCTTTTTAGAAATTAATTTGGGAAATCGGCTGGTTTGCCAAAGCTGATCATGCTTTAGTTCAGGTAATTTGCATCCCTGTATTTAAAATTAATCCCATACATGTATACGTTTGTTAAAACCAATGCTACCCTGTACTCATTTCAATGGCTATCAAACAACTAATAAATTTCTGTTTAATTTATTTATTCAGGTTATTATCGACGAGGATATTTTGTCAACCGTCCTTCTATGTGCTGAACAGGCAAGTTTAATTCAAGGATTGATACATTAGGTAGCCCAAATCTTCGAACTTGATTTTTCATCTATTTCTACTACCAGTTTCCTTACTTGTATGGCAGCATTATTGTACAAACGATTTTCTTTGTCATTGGCTCTGGGAATGAACATCAGGTTAATATCTTGTTTCTGATACTTTAAAAATATTACAAAAATTGAGCACTAAGACTTTTTTATATATTGAAAAATCTGAATAGATAAAAGTCTTGATTCCAAGTTGCAATTTAACCCAGTGTTTATGTTCCATATTATTACATAAGAATGTTCTTTACGTAAGTTACTACATAAATCAAATCAAATATTATACTGATATTGTGGTGTCATCATCAGTATGATTTATACACTGTTAATTCCGTACAGATCTAAAATTACCTTACCTACTGTATAATATTAAAATCTTATGTACATAACTATTAGGATATTGTCCGAGTTGTAGAAGTATTATGGACAATTTTAAACAAATGCCAGGTACTGTTAATCCTTAACTTTACTGACAAATTTTATAATTAATTTCATATTTTAATATCGCTTATCGATATTGATGTGATGGAAATATGAAGGTAATATTAAAATGTATCATACTGTAATTGAATTTTTACGTCAGGAAATACCTGGATTATTGGAATGCAATAATAGCAAAGGTAGGTGTTTAAGTTTTAACTGATAGAAGTCTATTCATTTTATTGGATAGAGAATGTCTTTTAAAAAGCCCAATAATATGTTTAATTTAGCAATGTTATTGATCATCTGTATTTAGAACTGATGAAAATGGAAATCATATGCGATTCAATTGTTCGTAATCCAATTGTGCCGAGAGAGTATGAAGGTAAGCCTTTGGTTTTCATGGTAAACTCAATTTAATTGCGATATATTTGTTTCATTGCAGCTATAAGCTTAATTGGGGAACTAATAATTCAATAAATTCAAGTAATGACTCATAACGTTTTCTATTTTAATTTTTTCCATATAGATTGCGCAAAAAAACTTGGACGATTCATAAAATACAATGCTATTGCTCAACATTAATAAAACGTTAATATCGTTTTTGTGTAATGAAAGGTATTATTTAAAATCATTTTCTTTCGTTACGGAAATATTTACGCAAATTTTAAACGTTCAATCACACTTGAAAGGGTTTAAAAGTTAGAATTGATCATAGTCTTTATCATTAATATATTAATAGCTCGAAACTATTATTCCGGTATATATAAACATACAATTAAAGCAAACTATTTTAGTACTGTTGTCTTTGCTATATCACTATTATCGTCAGACATAGAAGAAAAGCACTGGGATTTCATAATCGTTGGATTGAATCAGTATCGAAATGTATTATTTTTTCTTATTTCATAGTAGCTAATAATTACCGAAATATTCATCATCTACAAATCTGATATTATATTTGTCTTGTAGGGTAAAATTTTGGGTAAACCTAGATATTTTATAACTAATAATGATAATACATTAATGTTCATAAGTAATTTACTAGAGTAACCCAAAATTGGGAGATTATTTACACGTATCCATCCATTAGCTTTGATGAATATCTTTCTATAATAACAACTATGGGCTTACACATGCAATCTATCAATTTATTATCATGAAATAGAAAAAGACCTCTTAAAGTCAATCTTATACAGCAATATTTGAATTATCAGCTTTACTAACTCAATTTATGCCATTTATTACTTCTTCCAGTATTCCGATATTTATTTCACTACTTATATCAATTTCGAGACGTAAGCAATTTTATACTGATACATACTGTATATCTGAATAATAAAATTGTGTGAATAGAAAACATAAAATTCTTGTTATACACGTATTAAAATAATTTAAATACCATAAGTAACATAGAACTTTTAACTGCCGAACCGAACTCATAGGCTGTTCATCTCGTGGACTGTAAAATATCGGCAAATTAATAACTATGTGAGATAATTAATTAATCCCATTTAATTTATTTCATTCTTCCTTATTGCAGTTATTTTCTATCTCTATGTCTATCTGCATGTTTGCAGAGATTAATTGTTTTGCGTAAGTACTGCTTATATCCAATTTCATTTCATGAGCAATTTTACAATCTTCTATCTGAAGAATACTATTAAATAAGTTTATATTAGTGAAGAATAGAAGGAAATAATTACCAGATTGTTTATCACTGTAGTGCGCCCCCCCCAAAAAAATATAGCATAGATTAAGATCGAAGATTGTACGAAAATAGTTTAAATTGTAAGCTAGAGTGTAAGACTGTATTAAGTGTCTATTTGAGATAGTACAGAAATAGTCCACAGATAGCCAGATTGCAGTAAGATAGTCCATGATACTTTTAAGATGAACCTAATTAGGTATCTTATGTAAGAAAGTGAAGTTTACAAGAAACTGTAGTTCTTGTTGTATTTGTTGGAAGGCACTTTATCACATACTGATAAAGGATCCTCAACATGACCAGCTTACTAAATCAATAGTAAAACTATATCAGACAGAACATGTGATATATAATATGTTACGGTCATCCTTAAGTTCGATTTTATTCTTACGAATGGCCGAATTCCTGGTATTGGACTTGATCAGTCTTAAAGATAAAATCGATTCTAGGGATTGCTGTAACATGTACTGTAAATATATATGAATTAATAATAAGCAATCGCGCTCTAGAATGCACAACAGTAAATTATATGCAGTAGTCTCTCATCTTAATTGATTGGTAACTTATATAACACGTGTATGGATGCTATAGCCATATAAAATTTAAATTACTCATCCTTAACTTACTATTGCAGAATGGTATTATCTTTAACTAGCTATCGAGATACGCCTATACAAATATGTTATAAATGTTGAAACTCTAGCGGATAATAAATAGTGAATTAAATTAAAGCTAGAGCAGCGCATTCTTACTTAGTGTATCCCTAGTATGGTAAATTATTTCTACGAAAAGACGAGGTCTTTAATCGGCTATATGAGTATTAAGTAAGCTATGGTATTTTATCAACCTCTAGTTAATTAACTGGACATAATCCTGTAACTCTACCCATCGACGAATTATAGTTCGTGTAGACTTGCAAACATCCTTATTTAGTTTATTGCACATATAGTAAATTATTGCTTAGAAAGATTATCATCCTCAATTACCTACCTATCTAGGTACTGTAAGGACTTCAATGCTTCTTTCTACATTGTGGTAATGAATATGATCTTGCCAGCTGATATCGAATAAATTACAATTCTAGCAATACATCGTGCAGCAATTTGCTACTGTAGTCAAATTAATACTAAGAAGTGAGTCTTTTACAATCCACTATTTAGATATTTAGTAGGTTATTCCACCTAAATCGTAATTATCAATGTTGCCTTTTCTATTGGATTTATTGACAAATCTTTGAGTAAATTGAATTCATAATATACGGTATGATATCCTAAATGTTTCAGATCGCCAAATTGTTTCGAATGAATGATTTAGACTTTAATGAATTACTTTGATACTGTATTAAGCTATACTCGTACTCTTCATTATCTTAATTAATACAATCTTCCCACTCTATCAATTAGCAACTTTTACAGCTATATAAATAGAATGATACTTGCCTAATTATATCTACATTGCTTATAGTTATAAAGAAAACTATCGTAGGTCAATAATTTCGTCTTTAATAAATCTTCTAGATATTAGTAAGCTGTGGTATTTCCTCATTCCTTGACATTAATTTAATGAAATGTGGCAATAAATTGTGGAACTAATTATAGCAAGAACTAATACATTATAGTTCCTACATTATATTAGTGGGTCGGGCGGTTACTTTACGAAGAAATAATCTCGTTTAGATATGAATTGATTACTATCTCCTCGCCATAATAATTAGAAAATCTTTCAATTTTATTGATAAATTTTATTTTACGGGAAATATAGCATAGTTACGGTAGATGCAGACGCGTGTGATTTAAACAGGGACTTACTGTACTATGGAGAAATAATCTCATCTCGATACCAGTAGGTTTCTCTGCTGAAAATCTGACATTTCCACTGATTAATAAATTATGAAACAAATTACAGTATCAAGTAACAAATTATCATCGTATGCTTATGGCTCAGACGGCGCAGAATACCTCATGCTAAGACATGATTTCACGCGGATACCGTATACATATTAGCAGGTATCTCGTATAAAATATGAATAAAATCTTCCAATTCCATTGATAGTTAAATGGTGCCATAAGTTGCAATATGAAATATCTCTTTAAATTTATCGGGAAGGAACTTGAACAGAAGGTTCTTATCAGGATATAATTTCGCTTTATCATGCACAGAATATGGAGTAATGCGAAACACCCTATTCTCTCCATACTGCGGAAGGGGCAATGAATACAAACTGATGCCTCTAGCGATCAATCAATTCCGAGATCAATTCCAGCATTATTAACAGGATAATATGCATAGATCATTAAGTTCATAGGGAAAGAACTTAGGCAGAAGGTTGTCATCAGTGTATAATTTCGCTTATAATAGATGAATATAGTTTACAGAATATGGAGTAATATGGTATGCCCTATTCTCTCTATATCGTAGAAGAGTAATAAATACAAATTGATGCCTCGAGCAATCAATCAACTATAGGATAAATTGCAGTACAATCAATAGAATAATATACGGATTGGCCGGTCATTCCCGGGATTGGCCGGTCATTCCCGGGATTGGCCGGTCATTCCCGGGATTGGCCGGTCATTCCCGGGATTGGCCGGTCATTCCCGGGATTGGCCGGTCTTTCCCGGGATTGGCCGGTCATTCCCTGGAATGGCCGATTCCCGGTGTTAGGATTGATTGTAGCATATCATATTCGTACAATTCATAGGCATGGCGCTTGGACACAAAGTTATCATCACGGTATAATTTCACTTTCGATGAACAGAATATGAAGTAATACATTATACCCTATTTTCCCCATATTGCAGAATGGTCATGAATACAAAGTTATACCTCTAGTATAAACCAATTCTAGGAGAAAGTCCTGCATAATCAATAGAATGATACACGTAAATTATTCATTTCCTACGACAAAAAATACTGTCAAGAATAACATGATCATTCAGTCTCTTCTTTTTCCTTCAGTCTTGAGCCAAATGTTGTTGATAGACTGACGAAGAGGTAATAACTTTAGCCAATATTAAGCTACTATATAGTTTATCTACTTGAGATACGATGACGTAAAATTTAAATATTCATGACGGGAAGATCTGTAAACAACTACTTTATTCCCCGATCCTTTTCATCCATTTTGACAGCCAGTATGATAACTAGGACTATTGTTTAGTAGAATGGAATAGTATGAATAATATTGTTTCAATTAAAAACAAATAGAACAATCTACTTATTCCATATTTTCTAACATCATTTCTATACACTTATTCAGGACTGATTCCTACACTTTAGGCTAGATCGAATGAATAGATCTAGCCTTCCATGAGTTGTGGGAGTAGTTATAAAAGTGACGAGCCGGCCATGATACAGCATTTTAATTAAAATTCATTAATAAATGACGAAATCTACAGTACTTACTGACCTTGAAGATTATAGAGCAATTTTGAATCATCGATTTAGTATTTTCTATCATGAATCCAATCGACGAATCCAATCACCCTCCATCATTGAAATAATCTCAGTTATATGCTAGTGGAAATTTGAAGAAAGAAAATTGAATTAACCTTGATAATTCCTCGTTGATCATGGCTACAGTAGGCATGAATATAACTGTTCAGGTTAGATATTATCCAATTTTAGTTTGTAAGCTTTTTTACGCGTAAAGATGCAGAATAATACTCATTATCACAATCATGACATTGAATCAATAGAAAGACAGTATAGGAGTAATAAAAAGTCTCTGAAAATATACAGTAAATTCATTTAAAATTATAATGAACAAGGGAGCGAATCTATTGCAGTAAAATCATCTGAGTCATTTTGGGCCCGTTACATCTAAATAATTTGATGATTGCAAATGAAAGAAATGAATGTTGATATTTCTGTTTCACTTTTTAATTACTATGATAGTTTTAGCACTTATTTCGCCACAATTTATTAATAATTGGAGATGATTAAGTCGTAAAAATTTCTCAATACTAAAGTTAAATCTTTCGAATTTTTAACCTACCCTTCATATCTAATGTGTAGGATTATAGTTAAGTGGAGAAGTACATATTAATTCTTCTTCCCTTCTTACACAATCTATCACGTTTGCAACAGTAATGGCATCGATTTTAATTTAGTTAAACTAATCTTAAATGTTACCGTACAATCTTCCTCATTCTATAATGGAAGATGATTCATTCCTAATTTTACAAAGACAAAGATAAATCCTTCCAATTTTATTTTATCCATCACGATCAAATCGTCGAATTGCCGCAAGCTGTAAATTTTGATGTTGATTTTTGTCTCACATCCAAGCATTTTACCATCAGTTGCAAACAATATTGAAAACTTAGATCAAATTTTTCCCATCATATAAGAGTAAATGATTATTAGTAAAACTTTACAACACTACAGTTCAATTATTTTAATTGTTCTTTATCTGGCGTATTGAGATAGTTTGGAGATAGAAATTCGGATAAATAAAGAATCTTTGTGTGTATCTGACGAAGATTAGCATGTTAATTACAGTAACAGCATCAAATCCACTTTACTTAAACCGATATCGAATATTGATATCAAGCTATTCCTATTAAAAATTAGTAGAAGACTTGTTTCCAAGGTGCTAAAATGCTACAGTTAAATCATCTTGCTTTTATTGTGCCCATACTATAATTTGATTATGGTGAATTAAACGAGTTTATATTGATTCTTTTTTCGTCTCTTATATACACCATTACGCCAACAACAGCAAAGGTATCGATTTTAATACAACCGAGCCTCGGTAGAAATTTATATCCAATCCTTCTTGTTTTACAATTAGAGATGAATGACTTAAAGGTCTTACAACACCAAAACTACCTAAAAATTTCGAACGAACATTCCAAGTGGAACATAGCATTCTCTTGAAATCAATTGGCTTATAAACTCAATAATTTCAGTAAAAGATAAGTCGAAAGGAGATGATTTCAATTTAAAAGGAATAATTACTCCATAATAGTCTTCAATAATTGATATCTTGCATGCAAGTATGTTGTAGTGGATAATGACTATAATCACTTTCTATCGCTCAGCCAGTTTGTTAAAGAATATTAAATTCATTTTGGTTACTTAAATTTAAACGGAATTTAGATTTTACTGTCGATGACGTTAGTCGAACTCATTTATTCGAAACTACAAATCATAAGTGATTAGCAGGCGCTTGTGTATTCGAATTAGAGCAAACCTAATTCAATATTATAGTTATTTTGACAGTGTCCTAACCTCTTGTTCAAAATGATGGTATTCGCTCAATACCTTAATTAAATGGCGAAATTGACATTATCATCAATGACTACAGTTTACGGATAGTTTCCGGTTAAGTTTTCGCGGAAGTATCAGAATTTTTAGGCAGTCGTTGACATTTATTAATCAACTCAACTAAAAGTAAAGCCTTGCCACACAGATGGAGCTTTACTATACTCTCAGTACTTTAATAAGTAGCATTTAAACATCACTTTCAAACTTGCTTGAGATTAAAACTAATTAAATGCTTGCTCGTAGCTAGAGAAGTCAAATTACAATTATTAGGTCCAGCTAAAAATATTTGCCCAAACTTTTATTTGCATATTTTATGATGTCGAAAGGCATTAAGCTACAATTAAGATATTGAACGCTTCTGTTTTGAACGGAAAACATCGCATAATCTTCGTGTACCATTGCTATCTTTCGAGTGCTAAGGCTGATATAAGTAGCAAGATTACTTCATATTTAAATATAGCTTTTAAAATTAAATCACTTCATTACCGTGAATAATATCGATATAATAGTGCTTGAGTATCTATCTAGTTGCTCATACGTATAGTGGAGGAGTAATCGTTACCCATACTCCTAATCTACGAGAATTAAGACTTTAAAATCAAGATCGTTAATAATAATGTAAATTTCTAAATTTTGATGCAATAATCAGTTGCATTACTCATACGCATAAGTAACGATGTTTAAATACTTTAAGGCATGCATTATGCAAGAACTAATATAAATATTAATGGTAAAGTAAGCTTTACTAGTTTGATCATTTATGCAGTTGTTCGTCATGTATTTTAACTCAGATATTTGTGATTGTGGCTACGCAGTTTATAATCGAATTAAACAAAATTTAAAGCTATAATCTATCGTTATGCAAAAATACTTATTTATTCTAATCAAAATATTTTCACGGCTGCAATTCTCATCTACAGATACTAAATATTAATACACTATGGCAGGAATTAGAGGTAAGAACGATTTAATAATGACAAATCACTATTATCAACTCATCCTATTTTTATATTGATTAGTTGCTTGTCTTAATCTTACATTTGCAAAATTTGATAGTCTTATAATCCAGCAAATCTTCAACCTGTAATGTTGGCATATGTGGAAAATCTTGGGTAATTTCATGTCTTGTTATATCTTGCTATAAGTACTACACTATCTAGCTATCTAAGATATTGACAGAAGCAAAATTTAAGCAACTGTATTTTAACAAACAGTATCCTATTAATTATGAACTTGTTATGTCTTTAAACACTTCTTAACGTAAATAAATATATTTTAAACTCAAGGAGGATTGTTTCGGAACTGATCTCAGTGGCAATTGATAATAGCCTAGCTACCTATTGCCATTCCTTAGTAATGGAAGATGTCGTTAGGTTTGCTCTAAGAATCTAACTTCATGTAATGTTTCAACCATAACTACAAGTGAACTGAGACAATTGATATATCTGGAGATTCAGTGATAAGTAAATAGCTTTAAATATTTCGTTTGATTATTTTAGTCAAGTAGATCACGACAGCCAGCACGATCCATTCTTCCTTGTCCGGTAATCATATAGGACATCTGCATATTAATATCGACTTTTTAGTAATTCTTCGGCAATATTTATTGCTACATACGTATTACTTCTAGTGATCGATTACTGGCTAAACTTATTTCTATTTTGGAAAATTTCGAAGAGTAAGTCAATCCATACTAAATTATTATAAAAATTGGCTGTAATGTATACTATCTGAACAATTCATTGACACAAACAAACTGTACTCATTCTCGTTGCGGCTTTCAGTTTCGAATTGCAGATGGAAACTACAAAAGTTATAATCACGTTTATCGATTATTACCATGGATATGTGGTCTTTCAATGTCCAAATATTGAATCAGGTAATCGTTTTTAAAATAAAATCGACAAAGTTAATTTTTTAAATATAAAAACCATACGTCTATATTTCAATGTGAGCTGATGATCTCACATTTATAGTTTACGTTGTTATAAATATGACTGATTGTATTTGCAGTAAGATTTTATGCTAGAGTCACAATAATAAGTATGGCTAGTGCTAAAAATTCTAATGGAATTGTAATATTTGGTGATGGTTATCTAATGGAATTGTAATATTTGGTGATGGTTATCTAATGGAATTGTAATATTTGGTGATGGTTATCGGTACCCTAACCTTGTAACGTAGTTTAAATATGTTTTATTTTAGACGATATGAGAACTCTCATTTCGCTTATCTCATCTCCATATGAAGAAATAGCCTTAAAATCGATGAAGATTATCCAGACATATAACACTACAAAAACCTATACAGGTTTAAATGCAAATAAACTTTTTTAATATCATTAGAATGAAATTATAACTTTCTCAAAGGATACCAGCTAAACTAGAAGTCTTCTTACCATTAATGCGTTGATTTACCAATTAGCCTCTTATCGCGTGCCATGTTTACATCTAGGAGAGCATCTAGTTCTAAAATGTGGTTTAATGCGAGAATTAGCCAAAGTAGCTACTATCAGTAAATCGGTAAGCTATAGCTAAATATATTATATGCGTATTATCTTTGGTTATTATACCCGCGAAAGTATCATTTAGCAAAATTAATGAGTTAAGTCTACTTTTTATATTTATATTTTTAGACTGCGTTCCTTCAAAGCGTTGCTGCAACCATTAATACTTTGGATTGGACAGTCTTTCGTAGCTTTAAGGATTACCATGCTGACGTAAGATATCTCAATTTTTTGTATTCTCTTAGTAAATTCACTTTATATAGTACATGTACCAATGTTTCATAATCCATGGGATAATAAGATTATGATAATTTTATCACTATAGCTTGGGATCACTATTTCTATTCTAATGCAATCCAACAATATACAGGTTATTATTTCACTACTTAGAATATTCTATTTTTTCCCCGTATACTCTATTGTGTGTATTTATACTACAGAAATATATCCATGGCAATGTATTTACTACGGAAAACGCTATTAAAGTAATGATTTAATCTAACAAGCTTATGATAATTGATTCATTTAGGTCCTACGAATGACAATTAAAGCACTGACTAAAATGACAAAATTTGATTCACAACATGTTAGGGTATGTTGATAACAATTTTCTTGCTGAATCTTGTATACATATATGTACATGATCATTTCCTTAACTTTGATGCTATGTTTTATATCTGTCACATATAAATGTTGCTTACTCCTATGTTCGCCTTGGATTAATATCACTGCATCAAATATTTGCCATCATTAATTTTCCTATTTGATTACATTATCTATAATAGGAAGTTTTTCAGTCCTTGCCAGTGACGTTAGAAGTTCTAAAAAGCGAATCACCGCGTTTATTTGTAAGAAAAGTGTGAAACGCACGATAGTATCCCTCAAAATCGGATATGACTAACTATATATTTACATTATTTTGTTAGGATATTACCGTAAAACTACTAGAACTCATTGCAAGAAGAGTTCGATTTCGTTCACAAACGAAGGTGATTAAATAGATTTAAGACTGTTACAGGGTCAGAGATAATTCTCTGCTGGCTAATATGATAGTGATAGTGAAATTATAAATACATACTAAATTAATGTGTGTTTGATACAAGTATTAATATTAGTCTTAATTTACAAACATAATGACTACTGATACATTAATTTTATAATTGTATAAAAATGGCTGCTATTTTATCGTATTTACAGTTATTAATTGGTTCCAAAATCATAATTTACCTGAAAACAATGCTACAGAATCCAGGCTTTTGCAATATATCACAATTTCGAGTAAGAATCAAAATACCAATTTGCATTATTATTATCTTTAATATAGAAATAAATATTCCTAAGCTGTCTTTCAATTGGATGGATTACTTATTAATACAATGATCCGTATTGTTTAGGTACTTTTTAAGGTGCTAGATGATTTTTCCGCAACAAATGATGCCCTATTACAAGTAAGAATGATGTGATAGTACAATATTTAATTGGATGGATATATTTGCATTTTCATAAACTGTATCTTATATTAATTAGACTATCATACAAAGATATATATTCAGTCTATTATAATACCTACAGAACATATCAATTTTAAGTTTTTCTAAACTACCAATTTCAAATTATTATTTGGTACGGCACTTTAATTTAGCTTCTATAAAAGCAGTCAATTTATTCAATTTATATTATAGTAGCTCTGATTTAGTATGTCCTAATGAACAACTTCAAAATTTTTGTGGAGCATAGTCCTAGTATTTAGGTTGAATTATAAATACCACTACTAGAACTTAAACGATGCTATAGATATTAACGTCTTATTGAATTCTTACGCTATAATAAAATTTAGGCCGCTAGGGATTCTGTTTCAAGATTTAAAATCAGTTTACTAAATTAGAATTTAAGCTATATTGTAACAGCTATATTCCGCATAGCTTCTCTATTAAATTCACTTAGTTAGAATAATCAGCTGTTTATTTTCAAGTATAGTCTATATTGAAATTTCTTTACCTGCTTCAAGAATTTGACTGAAATTTATATGATTCACATTTAATATACTTTGCATATATCAATTATATCCCAAAAATACGCTTGTGATTAATTTACTATAAATTTCAGTGCCGTTTAATATATGATAATATTCATTTCGTGATCCATTTACAATAATAGAAGCTCATTAGCGATTCTGAAACTTTAACTACAATTCTATCCTGCGCCGAACAAGTAAGATATTTTTTATTAGTATTGCTAAATTGGCACAGTACGTATTTTAAGCAATATATGTATCCTGATTTACTATAATTATAGGACTTCATCTATTTTCGAACAACGGCTTGGAGTATTGTATTTCGAATTATAACAACTGCCACCTCAGAACAAGTAATAAATTAGTATTAGATCATCAATGCATGTTTATTACTGTTTTCATAATCCACATTATTTATCTAAACGGTTTCTGTATTGAATATCTTGACAGATCCAATATTTGCTAGATCAATCTAATCTGAAATATTATCTTTGTAACCAATTACTAAATACAGCTAGCATTGAGGTAAATCATTTCACACTCCTATCCAAATAATCATTTAATCTACTTCTGTACATATATAGTTTCAATAAATATGACGTTATTGACAAGCATATGAAAGAAAGTAGTTAAATTGATAAATCAAAAGCATATATCAATAATATAACTAAAAATTACTGCTATTAGAATCTTCGCAAAACCCTAAATGCTATGGCTACAATAGCTACCAAGTGCAAGGTAGCATTAATATTTATATCATTTCCTTTATTACCTAATAAAATCCCCATGGTTATGAAATACGTTAATTATTTACTTTTTATATATCGATTTAACAGCGATTTCCAAGCTTGTCCGATGATATGAAAGCAACTGGTAATTATAACTTGTAAAACTTATTGATTCAATATTAAATGCTTACTTAAGCTTATTGCTCGATTTTGATTTAATTTCAACTTTCTCGGACATATTATTTCATCTATTCGATTAGTAATATCTAGAATTGACGCTATATACAAGGAAAACCGCGATATTAATTCTATATCTGAACCAGCTCAGAAATTACGACGTCTCATGAAAACGAAAAAGGTTAAAAAATTCGATATCGGATGTACAATAACTTAAATTTTCACCAAGAATATCAACAAAAATTGTATATTAGAATATTTATACTCTTCAAAATAATCTACCGGTCTATTGATGTAATATGTGACGATAAAATCTCCCATCTATTGTGTAAATTAAACTCTACAGTATCATTTTACCAATTTCGACCATAAACTTTTCAATTCTCATTGTACTATAAATGAATCTATTAACATTTTAGATTATATCATGATATCTTGTATATTAAATATGTATAAGAATACATGTAAGAAAGAAGCACTCTGTCCTGCTGTTAATAAAGTTATTCCATAGTAAGCCAATTTGAGTATGGTCATTTGATATATGAGTAACAAATTCATCTGCCTGCTTCTTATAATGCTGACCAGTAGAATCTGTATAATGGAGGAGATATTTATTTATATATCTAATTATTAGGAAGATTGAAGATTTATTAGCTTTGCTCGTATATGCATTTGCTATGACTCTATAATACCGATTAGAGAAAATCAATTCTACTAATTTATAGTCGATTATTTTTGTAAACAGGTAAATTGCACAGCTTAACATTTAAACTTAGTCCATTATTCCCATTTCTTGTCTAGCACTTGCACCGTTGTATTATAGATATAATGGATATAACTTGTCCTTTATGTCATAAGATATAAGGATAATTTATAGCACCTTATCCTGACAGTACAGAAGTTAGATCCCGTACTTATGATAGCATTCTATGAGTTGACATTCCGTAATATAAGCATTTATAAGTATGCTTTAAGGATGATTAAGCAATCTTCCCAGAGAAAAGAGGCGAAGAATTTAGAGAAAGAAGCAGTATTTGTAATCAAAATTAATTGTAGTGAATCAATTAATACGGAGAGCTGATTAAAATATTGGTTATGAACAAGGAGAATCATCAGACTAGCAAATTAAAGTACGAGACTTTAATTTGACATCAAGTTGTCAGTATTACGTCCCATTGGTTCCAAGATAGCTACTACTAGCAGGCAGTGCAGTATAAGCAGCTATTGGAATGTTGCCAGCCTTCATATATCGGCTAACAGTAGCTTATCTGACGTTTATTTTCTTTTGCGAAATGTGTTCTCTGATCTTATAGCTCAATCTAAAGCACTTGCCGAAAGCGGAATACTATTCCAACTCTTTTGCTTGCTTAATTTGTTATTAACTAACGATGCATGCAAAACCATTTAATGTAATTAGACCAGACTCACTTGCTCGCTATCTAATTCACATAAAGGTGTAAGGCGGTGTAGTAGGATACTCGATATAATCTAATCAAATTATTATAGTTGTAATGTTAAGGAGTTATTAATCTATGACAATTTGTCCAGCCATCATATACGTACCTTCCGTATCTGCGATAGGGTATGAATGAAATATCTGAATATGTATTAATACCCGGCTACCATGGAGAAATTTTGTTCACCCACATAGGGAAACTCACTATCAGTCATTCCACCGCTACGAAAAACAAATCTATCTAATGATGCAATCGCCTTTTAATACTTCAACATGTCTTTAAAAATTTGAATATGGGAGTTCACGAACCGGTTAGCCAAGAAAATCGATCCGAAATCCTAAATTATCAGTCGAATTCCGTTTTACCATTTTGTGTGTAAGTTATAATATTAATTCAGTAGTGTATCACTTACGACAGGCAATTGCATTTTCTAACCTACATATTATAAATTTATTTTTCATATCATATAATTAAATCAATCTACAATTCGATTCAATTTGATTAACGTTCCTTGGCAGTAAATACGACATTACATTCTTGATTAATGTTAGTAGCGCAAAATAACCACATTATATTATCTATCAGGTATTGAGGCTAAATACTCATAAAGCGTTCGTACAATACAACTTATTTTCTTGTATAATTACCGATACTATAAATAATGTCGCAGTGTATTTAAAAATAATAATGCAACATGGCCAATAACGACGGTACAATTGAGGCGCTTCATAGGTACCGTAAAATGTGATGTAGATTGTACAATATAAATTTTTAAAAATAATGCCACATTATAATTACTGATAGCGTATTATATCAATTCAAAAGTACTAAAAAATCGGCTGATGCCTATTTGGCAGTATTTTAAACATTACAGTTGATATCTGCGTAAGTGATACAAATAGTATTGGTATAACAATATAAATCACCCAAGCAAACCTAAAGATTATGATATACAAAAAATTTTTCTTTCTTGCCGATATAAATTTATAAGGCGCTTATTGAAAATAACCATCTACGCAAAACTTTTAAATTACAATTTATGCCAATAAGAATGCCATTTTTAAATTCAGCAACAATCTATTATATGCCAACCTTATACGGTCTTAGTCAGCGACGTCATCGTACAATAGCTAGTATTGGTTATTGTATAAAAACTAAAGATAGTGCTATATTACAATAATCGTTAGTTAGCTGGAGGAATCATTTATAACAACGGTGCTCGTCTAATCCATTATATTTTCTACATTAACAACTCCACACAAAGCATACAATAATATCAGCATTTGCAAAACTACTGCTTGTTTAAAATTTCTCTAGTGAAATAATAACAACAGTAATTTGTAATTCGCTGCAACGGAGTCATAGCTATATGAAAAATTAAACAATGGCTGGGAATAGCCAATAAGCTTGTAACCATTAACGTACAGCAGTTATGAACTTATATCTTAGTAAATCTCCTGCACTTGGTCTTGACTTAGTATCTCTAGTAACGATAAAGAAAATTTGTTATAACAGCAATTTAAAATTTCATAATTAGCTGTAAATGATATTAATACCGTCTGAATGTTGCCCTTATAAACTCTTTAGCAGATTCTGAACTATGTTCCGGTAATGAAGGATAGATCTGTTCGGTAGCAATCTTGAAGACTGCCGCTAACGGTTCATATTCACGCAAAGGAGGATGAGCTGTTAACATCTCAACAACCGTGCAACCGACGCTCCTAAAAACATTTAACACAACACGTTCAGTATCTAGTATTAACGACATTGCTTTTGTGATATACATACCAAATGTCAGCCTTTCTACCATAGCCTTCGCCTTTTGCAACTTCTGGACTAATCCAATACGATGTGCCATGAAGTGATTTAAGTCCACTCATTGTTTGCAATGACTACGATAAATTAAAGAAATGTAACCATTATACTATACTATCAGCGTTATCAACAAATAAAATTACTGAATCAGTAATCATCTGCAAAATCGGTATATTTTATTTCATTTTAACCTTAATTCTTCTTGCAGACCCAAAATCAGCTAATTTCACATTTCCGTAACTATCTAATAAAATATTCGCTCCTAAAATAAAGTTAGAGGATTAATACATTAAAATATCACACATGATACCATCATTTGGATATAATATTAAAATTAATCGATTGCCTTTAATATCGCGATGAACTATCAAATTAGAATGAAGATACGCTACTCCTTCCAGTATTTGTCTTGTATATTTCCTCGTAGTACTTTCAGGCAAGACACCATTTTTCCGAAGGTACTCAAATATCGAGCCCTAAATTGGAGAAATGCAATTATTTCACAATGAAAAAGTACCCAAAATTTACGATATCCTCACGTACGCCGGGCATATATTCCATTAAGATAGACAACTCTATTTCATTATATTCGGCTCCATAATAAGAAACGATTCTATCATGTCTTAATTTTCGTAGTAATTCAATCTCTGCTTTTAGAGCTTCTACTTCCTAAAGTCAAAAGATCATGAAAACATTGTAACACCAATGAAAAAAGTATAAAGAAAATTTAGTTAACTAAATACCTTGCGTGCATGATCATTACTATATGTCTTAACTTGCTTTATAGCAATATAGCGCTTATTGGTCTTGTCATAGCCCAAATATACCTGTACAACATTAAATATATGTTAATCTAAAAATATCAACATAGGCAGTGAATAATTGGTATGACTAATGATTTTCCAACTAGACTCACTTGGCCAAACGCGCCAGCACCTAACAGCTTCTCCTTTTGCCATCTAAATGATTTTGCTGCGAAAATAATCAACAAATATAAGATCTAAATTCGTGGAAGAAAGAAATATATTTGTTGTATTAAACTTACGATCTGATGTTGTTAAATCACGCAGTCGTTGTAAAGCAACATCAACATCGCTAGGTCTTCTATTACCAATTCCCCCATTCCACTGTTCATGATCATGTAGGCTACCACTACTACCGTAATATTCACTATTTGATACGCTATTAACTGACAAAAGCTGAGCTCGAGGAAATGTTTGTCTTCCTACAAAGAAAACATATACAACACTCATAACGTAAGACATAAAACAGCAAATTTAGAAATAATTCTATTGCATGCATAGCCAAGCCTACCGTCAATATAGCTTTCATCGGTAATGGTATTATCATATACAAATCTTCTACTAGGAAAAGTACCCGATTTTCCACTTAATTCTAAGAGAAAATTGTTCAATAAAAATCGAAATTGAGACAATAATTAAAGTCGTTTAATAGCTTACCTGCATAATCGTAAGACGAATTATCCCACCCTCGATTAACTCTGGAGGTTGATCGAGAAATATTTTCACTTTAAGGGATAAAGGATAATTGAAATTAAAATCATATTGAACACTTTAGCGTAGTCTATAAGCTAAGGTTTACCCTGAGTGTCCCCCAGTAATTGATAGTTGGCTGCTGTTAAGAGATGAAGATGATCCTATCGAGCTTAGATCTGAACTTGACACTCCATACTGTCAGTAGTTATGCATAATAGAATCATCAGAACATGCTTGGAGATTCACTACTTAGCATTAACAATATTTTCTTACCTTACCTCAGTAAGAATTTAATGATTACTGATTTTCGTATCTACTGGCTAATAACTAATAAGTTAAAAAATTACAAACCTGTCCTGCTACCACTGGAGGCGAAGTTGGAGGGAATTGGTGATGTGAATCGTCCTACAAATGTTAAAATTGAGAAAGGTTTAAAAATAGCAGATGACTTTTGAGGATGTATTGTAATTTCATGAATAATAGCATACCTTATTAGCATAATTTTCAGGTATAAAAGTTCCTTCACCCTACATATAATAACAGTAACCGAAATTTGATTTATTATATCACCGCTAACAGCTAAATTACATTACTAGAGATGTAGCGAGCTAAAATCAAAAGCATACAGCAATTAAATGAACAGGTGTCTGAATTTCTTCATCCGGATTAAATCCAGGAGGTGGAGAATCTCTACCAGGTATTTCTTGGACTGCGTTAGTAGACTTTATGTCAAAAGTTTTCGCTTTCAACGTTCCCTCTTTATCTATATCATCATATAATTGTACGCTATCGCCTTCAGTTGTTCCATCCGTATCATTCTAAAACATCAGAGGGGTAAATTAAATTGCATGATGCGTATTCGTAAACTGACTATATCATGCAGTCAGGAATAAAAATTTCACATGTACGAATGAGTACCTGAGATTCATCGCAATCATTAACAATTACTTCAGATGAGTAAGAATTAGTTTCTGATGTATCTGAAATCGTTAATAGAATCCTGACACACGTGGCATTGGGGTTATTCATAGAGATATCAACAACTTTGTCGACATGCGACTGTGAAAGAATTGGCGTCATAATCATCTACGAGCATAGAAAAATTATCAAATATTATTAGTTGAGATGTAATATAAAGTTCGAATCTTTGAAATGTATCATGAAGAATTTTCATATCAAATTACGTGTATTAATGTTGTATAATAGAATAGTTAAAGAAAGAAGTAGTAGTCCTAGATCAAAAATGCTGATAAGAATATCAACTATACCTCAGCTTCATTCATTACAAAGTTCATCGCTAAATCTCTACCAAACAATTTTCTCACACGAATAGCAAGATCTTCATATTGTAATGGCCGGGGAAGTTGACAAACTCTACACAAGTTTAACAGTTAATTATTACAATGATACTAATATAGTAATTAGTTTTTTATTTCCACATATACAACGTTAGAAGCAGTATTAGGCGCCCGATAGATTTAATAAATCAAATATATATTTGCAGACTGTATCTTATAAAATTGAAAAGTTCAAAATTTATAGATATAGATTTAAATCAAGTGATAACAGTTTTATTGTACAATGTAGATCACTGTATCTAACATACACTCTTCAAGAACTACAACAGTTACCATAATGTACAACACTACTACTGTACTTACCGTTTTTCATATTGGTACTGAAATTTGACCCGGATATCATTCTAAGTATATAAATGAGAATAACAAATAAATAATGTCTTGCTAAGATAGAGTAATTTAATTTTGCAATACAATTCCACCATAGTAAATATTAGCTTTGCACTAAAACTCAAGAAAGCTAGTTTATATTTAATAGCATGTTATAATAACACCGATTTAAATAGGGGAAAATAAATACAAACCTGCCATGGCAATCCATCGTGCCTTATAGTAGGCCTATTTCTTACGCCAACTCGTATAGCTGGCATTGTATGACTAGGCCTAGATGCTCCCCTGACATGTCTGTCGCCTAAATTTAGACAAAACAGAAACACGTTGAGTATAACAATAATTTTTAGCCTACCGGAATATTAAAAAATAACACTAATATCATAAGACCAGAACATCGATAGTGATTCTTTCCATCATTATAAATTAAAACACAAGATTTATGAAATAGGATATTTCAACCCTGGACGACTATCGGATCTTATTCTAGCAATACCGGATTACTTGTAACTATCAGTTACGGTTAAATACAATCCCGATTTAAAACTACCAACAGATCGGCTAAGAAAGTTTTAATAATGAAAATGTAAATGTTTCTTCCCTAACTTCAATACAACTAAATATTAAGGTATTGGTTTTTTTATTTTACTATTGTATTACTATCATGGTTCACATCAACACATCAACTTTCATTAGCGATTTAACATTAACAATAAAATTAATTATAATCTAGTGCGAATAGAATATATTTATACATCAATAGGACAAAAAGTTAGCGATGCTATCTTTTACTCCAACAAAATATTAAAATAACACGAATTCAAATTTAAGACCGCTGTAGTTCTAGTTCAATAGATAAGATTGTAAATCTTTTACGTTCGAATACAAGATTTCGGACATTAAAATATCGTTATGATAATTAAATGTACGATTCATGTTAGCGTAATTTGAGTCTTGATTATATGATGAAAAATCTTGCCATGTGTGATATGATGAAATCAGATAAATGGTACAGTACTGACTGTACTGTAAAGTATACCGTAGTGCTGTATATGATATGCGATATCAACCAATAATTATAATTTGAAACATATATTATTACATATTGACTTTAACGATACAGTAGAGCAGCAATTGAGTAAATAGAAAAGTTTGTCTACGCTCAGTCATAATGACCAAAATAACACAGCCGAGGTAGTAATAGTACTTGTGTATGGTTGATGAGAAAAGAATAACCACCGGAAAAAGTTATTTTACCAATTCGGCAATAAACAAAATCCTTTTAAATTAGTACATAATGCATATTGTGTTCGATGCCTGTTATAGAATTGAGTTGCCTAGAAGAGGCAAAAGAAAAGCTCTATAGAATTGCATTTGACATTTCGTAAATAGATCTTTGTCAAATACAATCGTAGATTTTGATATCCTTTCTAGGAGAACGTAAATCACTATTTAATGTTGCGTCAAATTAGAAGAATTGCAAGATTTATAATCTTGTAACAGTGGAAAGATTGTTATTGAGCTCATTAATAATATTAAATATATGATTATATAAAATAAAGGAGCACTTCTTTATTTAATTATCAACAGTTCTATCATGCTGTATAGCTAACAGGAAACAACAATGTAAAATAATAGCTATCTTTTAAGACTACCACATAACAACTACGTAAAATGTACGCTTATACTACATAAGGTACTGATAAACTAGAGATATTTCTTAATAAATTCGTTAAATAGATTGTATACTATAGCTGATTAATTATAATTATCAGCAGTGTACTAAATACTACCATTCAATATGCCAAGCTACGATAAGCACTAGACATACATACAGTATTTACTCCTCTACCTGGTATAATACGATTTAACATGGTAATATTGTCATCAAGTCATTTCCTGAAACATTTATATAGGAGATTAAAAAAATTAAACGACTAGGAAGTCAATCATTTGAGTTCCTTATTTTGCTACTGCTTATTATTGACTATGATAAGACGATTAAAAAAATATTGTATTTAAACACAATAATTATAATGAATTTTAATTACTAATGATGCAATCAGGGACTATTACTGCATAATATGATATCGGAAAGATACCGTGCTTCTGTTATTATTGCAGTTATTTAAAGGTTATGAGAGGTAGTAGAGATTTTTAAAAAAATAAATTAATCTATTGTTACGTCTGAAATCATCACAAAATTTCTTGACGTAATAGTGTACGTAAAATATGGTACAACAGCAATTTCATATCTCTAATAATAATTAATTCCAATTAACTGGAAGCTACTTTTAAATTTAAAGTAAGGATAATACACCAATTTATGCAGTTGAAGATGAAAAAATTTTTCCTCTAAAGTCTATACTTGATCCCATTGAATTTAACTGATGGTCATTATGGAAGTAAACACGATGAATTTACGACCTAGGTATGAAAAGTTAATCTAAATTGGGACGTTGTAATCATTGTCAGAAAACAGAATTAAGTACAAATAAGTGGTTGATATCAGAAATTATAGTAGCAACTATGACTGGGGGGAGGGGGCACTACAAAATTTTAATCCAAAAGAATTATAATATAATGAAAATAAGCAGATCCAATAGAGTTTGAAATCTTAAAGAGTGGTAATCTTACGACTTTCATTCTATAATAGTTATAATCAATTGACAAGCCGAGACTGATACGCTAGTGAAAGCTATGGTTAAGGATTTCCGATAAAAACTACGCGTATAATTAGATTTTCTCGCATACGTCTTTTACCATTAGGAAGC